GTCTGCAACTTTTAATTCACATCTTACTGTAAAACTTGTAGCTTTACTATGTTCCTTAAGCAGTTGAGGAATTGTATGAAAAAAATTAGTATTAGTTTTGCTTAGTATTTGATAGATTTGAGATTTTAGATTGTGTAAATCCTCCAAAACCCATAAAGAATAGGATAGTTGATGTAGAAAAGAATTCATTGTTGTCCTTAATCTCATTTCGTTAATAATAGTTAGATGTAAAGACATTTTTCACAAGACTGGGTCCCCTTTCATAAAAAATCTTACCATGAATTTTGTCGTAAGGATGGTATTTCTCAATGTAAAATTCCATACGTACAACAAATACTTATGGTAAGTTATTTTATGAAGCAAGGCCCTTGGTTCAGATGGCCTACCAACCATTAACACTGCATGATAGTATTTGCATGACTCTTGTTAACCTATTCTTATTGCAGATATCATTACAGGAAGAAGAAGAGATGGAGAGTAGAGATAGACGAACCTGGGATGATGAATTAGTATTAAAACGTCAATTCTCAGCCTTAATTCCTGCCTTTGATCCCAGACCAGGTCGTACCAATGTTAATCAAACACAAGATTTTGAAATCCCTTCTCCAGGTATGTGTGGTGAAATATTTGATGAAAATATATTCAAAATTTCTATAAAATTAATGCTGAAACTTGATATATTTATTTTTTTGGATGAAAATGTCCAAAAGTTGCTTATTTGGAGTAAAAATTAATTTTGATTTAGTAAACATGAACAATTAGAACTATTTATATATTTAAGGTGGCGAGGAATGTGTATCACCAGAAGTTAAAGAAGTTGTGTCACAGCCAAGATTAATATTAAGTTTACGTGCACCTTGTTTACCAGGGGTAAGATATTACATGTATATTTTTATATCATACATCAAGTAAATAATGACCTTATTATTTGTAAAATGTGTTTTGTGATAAGGCCAATATCAGATAACAAGGGTCATAGAAATGGACCTGTCTTCAATTTATTAAAGCAAAAAGTTTAAAGCCTTTTATAGCATATGTAACAATCTACTGAACTTAGTCATATCAATAGACATATGAATATTTTTATTGGACTTGCAGAAGGAAAATATCAACAGAGTTATCCAGCTGAAGGAGATTATTTATATTTTATAATGGTCATGTCTATGATATATTTTATGTATATGATTTGTGAATATATTCTGTTTTAATTGTTATATTTATAGATGAATGAAGAAGAGATCAGTTTAACTGATGGTAATGCCTGTATATTTAAATATGTTCAGAATCTGTTAATACAAGGTAGTTCTAATGGTAGAACAGAAAGATTACGTCGTGTCTGGGAACCAACTTATACGTAAGTTTCATCTCAATAAGCCTCAATAAAACAGGAACTGGATATGTCACATTCAAAATTTTCCCTTCTATTCATTTCTCTGCCAGTTTTTCGGTTCTTGTGGATCGCATTCTAAACCCTATACCAAATTCTTGATTTCAAGAATCTGAAACGAGAATAGCTCACCAATTAAGCCATATGTTTAAGATATGTATGCGATACTCCCTTTTTTTTCAAACCTAAATGTAGTTGGTATGGATTAATTTAGATAAATAAGTATAAAGGAAACCTCTGTATAATACTAATGTTCAGTATATTTTTGTTACAGCATTATTTATAAAGAATTGAAGGAAGAAAATGAGAAAGATTTAGAACCTCACAATATGAGAGTAAGTGTTTTCATTACTTTCATTACAACTTTGGTCAGCCATATTCCAATGTCTGCAGGCTTAGCTTCTCTTAGATCTGTTATATTCTTTGCTTTGTTCTCATGATTCAATATTTGTTTTAACGACTTCTGTAATGGCTGACTTGTGTTTCTCTTTGTTACCAAATTCTTCTTAAGCTCACGGAATCTCTTCAATGTTCTGTGGTTGATCAACTCATTTTGGTTTACTAGTTGACCATGCTCCTTTACTTTCCAAACTCTTATAGGAGCTAATGGTACTTGGTAACAAATCTATGTCCGACATGGAAAAAGCATCTTGTTATTTGAATGTTTGCAACAAGATATACATGTTTAAGATACCTACATTAATGCAGAAGTTGAAAAAATATAGACAATTTATCCTCATAACACACTGCATGGGATTGCCTGTCTTCATTAAAACATAAAATTACTTTTCATTTCATTACATTTCCAATTATTGTTCTCATTGTTGTTATAATTTTGTAGTCGTCACAAAGTATGGAGAAATATGTTAACTGGAGAAATGCTCTAAGTGATAAAGAAATAACACGAGGTGTTGATCAGACTAGCTGTAACGTAGAACATGTTTTACAATTATTACAAAGATTATACGCTATAGCTCTAGAACCTACTAATCCTAGCAGACGTAATGGTAGGTATCACAAGTTTCTTCTGGTCACAAGTGGACCCTTGATCGCTAACCTGAAGGTTTCAGGCCTTAAGCGCAGCATAGATCCTGATAATACCTTCAGTTTTTTCAACCTAGTTTCCCCTTGTCAGTGATGCAGGTCTGAGGGCTGACTTGGATAAAGAGTCTAGGCTCTCGGATGGGCCAATAATTTGTGTGCTTCAGACTGTTAACATAAAGATCCTGTGACGGTTGGAAATGGAAAAGAGTACAGACTGTCCTGTCAAAATTTAGATAATTAATGAGAAAATGAGATGACAATATCCCTTGTTAAGATTAAATCTTCATGTTTTGTTTCCTTGATATAATTCCTATTGTTATTTTTAGATGGTAGTGATGTACAGTTGAACATTCCAGTAGATGAATTTATCAGTAAGAAAATCACTAATAAAGTTGTCCAACAAATACAGGTAAATTATCAGTATTATATAATATGTTTAAGGCTTATCGTAAAATCTTCTGGTTTTTAAAAAATAATGATATATAAGCCTTAAACAAATCGTAAAACTATCTACCAGAAGCAAAGTTTATTTATTGTTTATCCCCTGTAATATGTGTCCATATAACTTTTCAAAAATTTAAATCCGATTTTAGACTATTTTACCAATTTTTTATAATATATCGAGTAAATCAGTGAATACTTCCATTTAGATTTAAACTTACCAATATTATGATTTGATGATTATTTTAGGATCCTCTTGTATTAGCCAGTCATTCCTTACCAGAATGGTGTGAACATCTAACTAGATGGTGTCCAATGGTATTTCCCTTTGACACAAGACAGTTATATTTTATCTGTACAGCATTTGGAACTTCAAGGTAAGCTGTCATGAACATGAAGCCATCAGCACATTGACTAGAGTTCATCTCATACTGCTTAATAAGTTTGACTAGAGTTCATCTCATACTGCTCAATAGGTTTGACTAGAGTACATCTCATACTGCTCAATAGGTTTGACTAGAGTTCATCTCATACTGCTCAATAGGTTTGACTAGAGTTCATCTCATACTGCTCAATAGGTTTGACTAGAGTTCATCTCATACTGCTCAATAGGTTTGACTAGAGTTCATCTCATACTGCTCAATAGGTTTGACTAGAGTTCATCTCATACTGCTCAATAGGTTTGACTAGAGTTCATCTCATACTGCTCAATAGGTTTGACTAGAGTACATCTCATACTGCTCAATAGGTTTGACTAGAGTACATCTCATACTGCTCAATAGGTTTCAATAGGTTTGACTAGAGTTCATCTCATACTGCTCAATAGGATTCACATAAAAAAAAATCATCAGAACAGGTATTTTTGGAATGAAGGTCATCTCTGCATCACAGGACACGTAAGATGTATGAGTTATATAAGCAAACTCATTGGACAGGAGCAAGATTCATTAGTGGGACGATTGATTTGAGAAGTTCACATGGTTTGTTTCTAATTGTTAACATATCTATTGTAGGTCTATAGTATGGTTACAGAATAAACGAGAATCTAATTTAGATCGTATCAGAAGTTCAGTACCAAGACGTGATGATGGTCATGAATTCCGTGTTGGTAGATTAAAACATGAACGTGTTAAAGTACCTCGTGGTGAAGAATTATTAGGTTGGGCAATGCAAGTTATGAAACATCATGGCAAGAGAAAGGCTGTTTTGGAGGTAAACACGTTTCCCAAAAATATTTTGCCTCTCTAAAGCTTGTTTTAAATATCTATAAAATATCTTTACTAAAACATTTATTGTAATATTTTTTGAGAAACAGGTCTCTGTTCATTAAGATGTAAGATAATGGCTTCAGAGCATTCAGTAAATTCATTGTTTCTACCCAAACTTTGCCAGTTTTATTTTATATTATTTGGAGCCAAGAATTTAAAAAATTGTCTATTTAAATTTTCAGATTGAATTTGTTGGTGAAGAGGGAACTGGATTAGGTCCAACTCTAGAATTCTATGCTCTAGTTGCTGCTGAATTACAGAGAAAATCTCTAGGTCTGTGGTTATGTGATGATACTATTCCTGATAAAACAGAGAGAGAGGTAAGATCATTCTTGTAGTTCTACTTAATAAGGATCTGTAATTGTATAACACAATATAAAACTGTGTGAAATGTCTGGGCCTTACTGTCCTACAAACATAGTCTGTTTAAGCAAATAAATATTATTGTATTATATGATACTGTAGTTTAATAGCTATGTGGACTCTACAGTTGTTTTTGTGACATCACCCCTGAATTCAGTTGTCAGCTTTATAAATTCAGCTATATAATATTGTTTTGAAAATTGTTTTGCCTAGCTTATTGATATGATAGAATTGTTCATTACAAAACAACAAAAATGCTACAAAACCTTTTGTAAACAAAACATGGTGTATTTCAGATTGATATTGGACATGGTATACGTGAACCAGGTTATTATGTACAGAGAATGAGTGGTCTGTTTCCAGCACCTCTACAACAAGATAGCGCTAATATTGAGAAAATTGAAAAACATTTTTATTTCCTTGGTATATTACTTGCTAAATGTCTACAAGACAATCGCCTTATTGACCTGCCACTCTCTCGTCCCTTCCTGAAATTAATGTGTCTTGGAGACGTGGGTCAGAACATCAGTCAGCAACATGTAGGTTATGGCAGCATGCTGGAATCCTGGCATAGTGAAAGCAGTGATATGATCACCAGTATTGAAGAATCTGAAAAAGAGATGAAACTGGATCAAAGTCGCACTCGTCTGAGTGCCTCTCAACCGTGGTATCATGGCGTCCTCACAGAAGAGGATTTTGAACTGGTTGATCAACATCGAGCCATGTTTTTACGTCAGCTAAGAGAGTTATCGAGTAAGAAACAACGTATATTAAAAGATAGAAGTATATCAGAAGATCAGAAGAATATTATGTTAGAAGAACTCATGTTACCAGGAACAGCTGATCATCCTCTACCAGTTAGACTAGAAGATTTAGGGTAAGTAATAGGAGCAGCTTTTTAAAGGGTTTGTACAGCCCAAATATTGACATATATTGATTTGGCTTTCATTGATTATTTTCTTCTCAATCTAAAATAGTTTGTATTGCTCAAGTAGTTTATTTATTTACTAAGTTGTCATTTTATTTTACAGATTGACATTCCAGTTTAATCCTTCATCTAAAGTTTTTGGCTTTACATCACATGATCTCAAGATAAATGGTGAAAATGAGGTAAGTCACTCTTGTATATTTATATGAGATATTGTGAAAATGGTAATAGGTTAGAAGTAGTTTATATCTCAATACTTAAATATACTAGTGACATGGCCTGTAATTCAGACAAATTTGAAACTGAATACATGGATATGAAATAGTGACAGAAAGAAACAACTATTTCCAGGGACATCAGTTTAGTTTTACAGAGATCATTTCTACCAGCTGGTCCTTCGCCAAACCTCTAGGCATCATATTTGTTTGACATAACCAAACAACTAAAGTCATTCCAACACTCTTATTTAATTGTGCTACAGTCGGTCCTCATTTAAAGCACATTGAAAATGTCCAATTTACTTACTATGTTATATGCTATTTTTCAGGAGGTAACATTAGATAATTTAGAAGAATATATAGATCTAGTCACTGATTTCTGTCTCACATCAGGTATCAGACGACAAATGGAAGCATTTAGAGGTAAGACAATCATATTCTACTATTCTCTTCACTACTTAGCTCAATGAGAAATATAGACCACAAAAGCACACTTTTTTTTTAGTTGTTGACTTCAGTAGAGCTTAATGGAAACTGAAGGTAATGTTGTCAGTCATTTGTATGGATTTTCAGTGATATGTTTGTAAATTAATAATTATTCTGTTTATTTCAGCTGGATTTGATGTTGTGTTACCAATAGCTAAACTACATGCGTTTAGTGCCAGTGAATTAGGTACTATGTTATGTGGTGATCAATCACCTAGTTGGAGTAAAGAAGACATCTTGACTTATACTGATCCTAAATTAGGTTATACCAGAGAGAGGTATGTTTTCTTTTACATTTAACCACAAGTTGTTTGTAACCTTGGTAAATAATTTCAAGAAATTTACAGAAGCTCTATCAGTAAGAATGATTTGAATCTTAGGATGTTCAAAAGTCAGGTGGCCTTAAGAAAATTGTCTGTCCTTGATATTCCTGTTTGTAAATAGGGTTGGCAATCTAGGAAAAAGGTTTGCCAATACCTTGACGATGGAATGGGTCTCCAAAACCTTAGTTATTATATTTGTTACAATTTTCTGTTTCAGTCCTGGCTTCCAGAGATTGGTGAACGTACTTGTGTCGCTATCACCAGATCAACGAAAATCATTCTTACAATTTGCTACTGGATGTTCTTCACTACCACCAGGAGGTCTAGCTAACCTTCACCCCAGATTAACTGTGGTCAGAAAGGTGGATGGTAATGATAGCAGTTATCCATCAGTTAATACTTGTGTTCATTATTTAAAATTGCCAGAATATTCCTCAGAAGAAATTCTAAGAGAACGTCTGTTAGCTGCTACTAAGGAGAAAGGATTCCATTTAAATTGAGCGATCTAGTATGAAGTATTGGTTATTGCTGTGAAATTCACTCCCGATTGAATTCAGATGATAATATCATTGAGGACTTTGTGATATGTTGTGCATATTGCACACAAAATAAACTGTGCCACTTTATTATATTAATATTTGCATTTATAGCAATGCCTAGATAAGAAACTTTAGGTTATTTAAACATAATGAGGCTTATATTATGATCAATATTTATCAGTTTCTGTGTGTTTTATTATAATTAATATTTTGTTGACATGAAAGAATAATGTTTGTGATTTTATGATCCTGGTTTAGATTTTGTTTCTGGTCTTAAATCAAAGATTTCATTTTTCATCAAACTTTTTTTTTTACTTTTCTTTATTTATTTAATTTTCTTAAGAAATGAAAGTATTTGTATATTAAGGTATTATTTTTAAATGTTGTAAGCAGACCTTAATTTTAGGGAGAAACTTGATCAACATCTCAATTTTATGGGTTTGAAAATGTACAAAAACAAATGTCTGTTTCAACCATGCACTAAGGCACAATCAAAAAAGTTGTTCTCTGTTTCAGTGTCTATCAATTGGTAAATTTCATTCTTGTCTATCCTAAATACTTTTTAGAATTAAAATTTGATGTCTGGTTTTACTATATTTCTGCAAATGTACAGAGGCCATAATTAGCAGTAATATACTTTTTGAACATCATGATGAGAATGTAAACTAGCTTGGTGAAGCCGATGTTAAATTTTAAGAGAACCTGATGTTTGATTTCAATTCTGAAAAGTGACATGGATAGCTACAATACAGGCGAATATTAAGAGGAGCATTTCCTTTTTCTTTGGAGCAAGATTCTAAGTTTTTTCATTTAGTTGAAACCACCATCACCCAAACACCCTGTTGTGTAATGATTTAGCACTATGCAGATATCAAGTACTAGTTGTATGACTGTTATACTGTATGAGTGTATATGTTCTGTGATTACTTATTGTCAACCAGGAATTTACTAATTCCCAAGAAAATGATATATAGATTTGTTCTGTCAATAAAAGAACTTTTCAAAATGTTTTGTTTGTTGGGACAATGTGCTGGAGAGGATCAATTATTTCAAAATGGCTTCAGGTTTTAATAATTTTCTATATTTTGTGTACGCAGTAATGGACATTTCCTTACATGGAAAGTGTAGTTAATATGATCATTTTTGTGACCCCATTACTATGACTAAATTGGTCCCACTATAACTACTTTAAATCAAACGAAACTATGTATATAATTCTTACATGAAAATAACACACATGAACGTAGTTCACAACCATTTTGACTTATTAATAAGTGAAGGAAGAGGTTGGTTGTGAACAACATTTGTGTGTGTTATTTCTATATGAGAACTATATGTAGTTTCGTTTGATTTTAAGTAGTTATGCGGTTCTATTCTACATGAACTTTAACTTTTATAACAGTGAAAAATGTTAATTATGCAATATTCATATAAACACTACATTAATAATATAAAGTTCAACTACGAAATATCCTGTCCATTTTCTTCCCCTCAATACTGTTTACTAGCTGTTATTGAATTTGACAGTAATGGTACACTTACTCATGAATTAACATTTCACAAAAAAAAAACAATAAGAACATGCGTTGATCATTTCAAAAAGTATGTGCATCTAGGACTACACATTTCACATGTTGTAACTTATTTAAGATAATCATTGGTCTGATCAATAAATAATAACACATAATAACAATATAGCACCACAAAATCAACAATATATCACTTCTTGGTTTTTCTCAAGATTTTCAAAAAAGAAAATCGACGTTTTTTCTTCTTTCTTGGCACACTAGAATCTCCAATACTTTCTGTTCCTTCATAAGCAGGATTTATAAAACCTGTTTCTAATGTTCCTTTTAATCCAGTTGTTGCTAAACTTAATGGTGGAAGACTAAAATCTTGTTCAAAATCATCTATGAAATTGGATTCCTTTACTTCTGTGTAAGCGTTTGGAAGAACATACAGAGGATCTTCCCCAAAACTTTGTGTCTGAAGATCTACTATTTGATTATTAGTAGATTCACTAAATATTGGTTTATCACCTAGTGTATGACTATCTGATATAAAAATTTCACTATTTGACGGCACAAACATCACACATTTTTCAACATCCAACAATTCAGGACTTTGTTTTTCTTTCCACTTTTCTTTTTTCTTAGTTTTCTGATGTAAGTTATCATAGTCTATATTAGATTCAAGGGAATATTTTACACTGAAATACAAAGAAATTTATATTTAAATCAATGGCTTTATGAAGCTTAACAGTTAATATATGATGTACATATATATAACTAAGTTGGAAGAGACCTAACTTCAATAAGTCTGGTAGTGGAATGTTATGTTTAAACAAACTGGGCAACGGAAAAAATTTAATGAAATGAAATGAATGGAGTTTTACGTCCCACTTTTCTGCACCATGTGGGCTAATGAAGACAGGCAATGCCATGCACGGTGCAATGAGGGAAATTTTGCCAGGACAGCGGCTTTAGTCTGCTCTTTTTCGATTTCCAACTGTCTAGGGATCTAGACGTGCACAGCCTGAAGCACAGAGGGCTGGGTTTATTGTCCCAACCAAACGTCTGGACACTTAATCCATGTCAGCCCATCTTACTTGCATCACTGACAGGGTAAACTGGTTTAAAAAAACTGAAAGTATCATCCTGACCTAAGCCAGAATTGAATCCGAGACCTTCAGTTTAGCGAGCAAGCGTCTAACTCACTGATCCACCACATCTCCTCTGGGTTACAGAAAGGATAAACTAGGAAGTACTGTATTGCAATGTGTCATCAAAAACACCTGAAATACTTGATGCCACACCTGAAACTGGGTTTGTCAACTCTAAGAGAGTTCATGTAGCTTATATTGTATTTTTAGTACGGTATATTATTACCAGTACCTACCTATATTTATTATACCATTTATAAATGATTATAGTAGCTATTATTATAATAAGTACTAATATTAATGTTATTCCAGGAATAATCCAACCAAAATAAGATTTCAATTTAGGATCTGAAAATATAAAACATTGTCAAATTAGGCCAAGTGTGGCCAAAAGTAGATACCTTTATGAACACAATGACATGAATAACCATAATCTATCTACATGCTGTCAATTTTTTTCCTTTACTAAATTGCTAAGTCATCCAAACATTGACCAAAATCACAATATATTGGTTTCAAAATGCTGTTTGTGCAAAAACAAATTTGCCATGATTTTAAAATACCTGCTATAATTATATTGCTTTACATTATTATCTTATTGAAATTTTTAGATATTACTTTTCAAATGCAATTGTTTTTGGCTAGCGTAGCTTTTAAAGAAACACAAGCGATCTGAAACTACCATGAAAGTTTATGTTTTCTGAGAATACATTTCATGGTAATCCTTTCTAAAACTAAACCATTATAGTAATTAACTGAAGAATGGAAGCCTATCAAGTTGTTCATTGATTGGTCTTCTAATATCACAAGTACAATAAACTAGCCTTCCTTCCTTCAAGGAACAACATTCAAATAGCTCATTCATCATAATTTTAGCTAGAATAGAAATCTGATTCCCAACTGCTCCATTAGTTAGAGAAATTTTCATTTACAGTAGTTATTGAAACCAAACAACTACATTTTATTGTAGCCATCTTAGATGATGGTTTTATATTTGTCATATCTCATTATGAGATCAAATTTCATGCTTCATGATTAAAAAGAAAGTCAATGTAATGAAGTCAATGAATGTCCAACATCCTGCACACAATATTATAATTCATTATCAAGAAACATCACATCAAAAACATTACCAGGCAGCAAGTCTTTTGTCATAAACTTGACACCCCTTGACTCAGCACATGCATATACTCCTTACATATAAAACTGTGTATGTATGAATGGAAGAACTCATTTGTAATATTAGGGGTGAAAAAGTGCAGTGTACAAAGCTGGTATCCAAAAAAAAAAGAAATTAATGAAAACCTAATGAAATAATTAAAAGTTAGAAGTAGAAATGTTTAATGTGAAATAAAAAGATAAGATACAGAGAATGGTATCTCACAATAAATTACCGTCAAGTATCTCTTAGACTTCTGTTATCAAATGCCAAACATACAGTAAACCTTGGAATCAAAGACTAAGTACTTGTTTTATTCAAATATCAATGACTTTCTACCAGCTCTGAATAATAAACTGCTATGTTGAACATGTACAGGTGTACATAACTTGTCAGACAAAATAACATACTAAAAGCATTATTTCAAGTAGCGTTACTGTTTGATCTGGTGCCCAAAATTCTCCAAACTACATAAAGACATGTTCAATATATCTTTATCATTCCAAAAATAAAATCTTGATCATTCCAAAAGATGTACAATTTCAATTGAGTCGACTATAATAATGAGGAAGGATGACTTAATGGTCATCTTACACTGATATGACAAGATTAAAACCTACTTTTATATAACACACATGACCTCATGACATTCTTAAAATGTTGCCAAGATGACAACCCTGATAATGATTCTAATGTTTAATCTGATGGAGATACAATCTCCAACAACAACTGACTTTGCTCAGTTTTCAATGACTAAAGCAACTGATCTTATTTTCACTCATTTGATATCATCTTCATGCATTTACAAGGAGAATCAATTTCTATCATTCTGCAATAGACCAATGGTAATTTATATGTAGTGTTTTAAGAGAAAAGGAAAGAAAAAGAAATCTGCAGACGGATTCATTTTAAATACCCATCAATATAACCAGTAGTGATGTCAAAATTACACAAGACAACAATTATACAACATTTTTTGATTGACATTTCAATCTTTACAAGATATTTCATGTTCAATGTAATTCCAATGAATGTCAGAATCTGAAACTAGAAAACCTTGAAGTATTGTGAGTTGTATAGAGAAATAACTAAGATATTGATAATCTGTAAGAGTAATGTAGAAGAATCCATATTAAACATGCTTTAAGTAGATTGAAAACTGATAATAAGGCTGCATGTGACAAGTCTAATGGGCATCCTAGATACTAAACAAGTTCTATTAATCTTATTTTGACCACTTATTGACACTTTTTATTGGCATTAGTTAAAGATTCATTACTTCAATGTGACCTGTGGGTCAAGTTTATTTTTCCAAATCACATCTCAAATACACAAATACTGGATAGAAAGTTTCATCTCGAGCAGAATAATCAATTTATATATTTGTGATGAATACTGGAGCAGTTGTGAGAAATATCAGAATAATAAGAAGGTACCAAAGGTATTCGTTATGTCTGAGAAATATGGAAAATATGATTTCCAAAGTGGTAAAAATTAGCAAATTTTGCTCTGAAATGGTGTTTTTTTCATAGATAATGAGCAAGAAAAGTTTCTGAGTTTGACGTAATAATGCTAGGAAGCCGAACTTTACAAAAGTAAAGTACATTAATCTACAGGCACATGATGTCTTCTGAGATTCCAAGATGTGTTCGGAATACAAATCAAGTGATAAATACACCTCGAGTCCTTTCTAGTTGGAAAATGCCCATGCTGACACAATTTACTTCTTAGCACATAGCTTTCATTATGTAACATACCAAACATTTGTTCCTTCCTGAATTAAAATATCAAAGATAATATGTGATTTACAACTCTTTGCCATGACTTACCAAATTCTAACCTTATTTTACCAGCACATGGAAGGAAAGATACATAAAGAAATGGTGTGTAAGCTGGTGTATGTACCTGGCTTTTCTGACTATTAAAATATATGTGATATATATCATTAATAAAAGTAGATAGATATCATAGTTAGTTAATATAAAGACTAGCTCCTACTGAGAACACATGTACAAATACCATCTTATTATTCTTAATCAACACAACTGTCTTAAAAATTCTTTTCCCGATTCTTCAGAGTTAATAACATGGTGCTAGTGTCTTTAAGACCTCAAGCAAAGGTTTAATAACTTAATAACACAGTCAGTAATGCAAATACTCAAGACAAATCTGAAATAAGTCAAACTAGTCTTGTTTACAAATCCAAAATCAAAATTTAGATGTAACAAAATAAGGGATCGCCTGAAAAAGTACCTTACAAAAGATTTTTTGAACAGATACTGTCAGATACTAAAAGAACATATCTTTACAGATTTGTTCAAATCAATAGAAGCCGGTCAAAATCTTTGACAAAGAGTTCCAAGATGACCCTTTGTAGCTTGAACCAAGAAAGGGCTGGAAGGGAAAGCTATATATAGTGTGTCATATATATATATATGAAAGCTGATTTTAAAAAAGCCCTATAGGGTTAAAATAAAGATGTTTCAATGTATAGCTCAGATATATTAGGACTGAAAAGTTTAAGTGAAGTATTCAAAAAAGCACATTATGATTAAGAAATAATATCAAAACATGATAAAGCTATTAGGATATGGACACATTTCAATCTGAGAAAAGGACATCACTCACACTAAATGTTCACAAGGATTTCCACAAGACATCAATAAAAGAAACATGATGAAAAGAAAAATGTTCATTTGTCAGTTAACAATAGTACCCCTACTATTTCATCATGATTTGTTTCCTTAACCTTAATCTGACCTTAATAGAACTAATTAATATTTCATTTAATAAATAACATAATCTACAGGGAATATCAGGACTACTGTAAGAGAACAAATAGATTATCTTTTAATTCCTCTACAGATTAGCGCCAATTCCTTCAAGGCATCATTTAGGTTCTCTAGAGACTCTGACAGTTCAACTTGGCTTGTTCTATGAATATTTAATGATGTCTGCTTATTTACAACCATGTGTTATATGATGACAATGTCATACTTCCTTATAGAAGACCAGATAATTGCAACACCTAATATTATACTGCCATGAACATATATAGTTATAGGCAAATGAAGCACATGCCTATTGCCGAATTTGACCAAAAAATATATTTTGCTTATTTGATGTCTACAGTAGGCCCTATATGAAGTCTACTAGATGCGTTGCAATGAAAGACATAACTAACTTCAAAGACAACAGGATTTTTGTCCTCATAAAGAAAGATCTTAGTTACAGACATTAGCACAATATCTTGTCTGTAGGGTTTGCTCATGTATGAACACTTTTAGAAATCTCTATATGCAATACAAAACTCTTTGGCAATAGCGCAGGGAAAAAAGTCACTGTTGTTCCAATGCTTTTTCCCATTGTCATTAGGACATATTATTTACCAAAACGTAACCTTCTTTTTAGGTTCAAAACTGTATTATGTAAGCACAACCAGCATCATATTTTTAATAATTCTTGACAAAAGTATTGAAAAAAAACAAAGATTGTAATATAAAATTCAATAAGATTTATTACCATTACATTTTCTCAGTGTTTGTTCTGTATCAGTAGGGTGTATTATCATTGTTTAAACATTATTAGTATTGAAAAACTTGAGATTAGTGTCAGGAAATCAAATAGGAAATGAATTTTTACATTATCTATATATCTCTCCAGTATCTATACTCCTTGTAGTAAAAAATCCATCTGTATCAAGCCTTTTATCACGTTTTTTTTTTTTAAAGAATATATCACAAAATAAAAATCTATACCACATGCGCGTGTATTTATTAATCTTGATCTTATTGTAGTTGATGCATTCTTTTATGATAAAAATTGCACTTGGAAGGTGGGCAAATTAGATTCATAAACACTGAAGCAATTTCTGCAAAGATCTAATTGATATTTTAGTATGGATAACAACAGAAATAAGGTTAGAGTACATCTCCCTATTTTATGCTCTTAAACTTTTCAAACTGACTGAAGATTTCAATTCCAGATCCCTTTCTTACACCATTCTATAGTCACATACTTGTACTTTTATACCAACTTATGTACCATGTTGTAATGAAGAAATGATGAAAGCCTAAAGTCATTGTCCTCATAAAAAAATTTGAACTACAGAAAACAATTCTAATTTCAATAAAACAAGTTTATTTTTCTCTTTTAGTTAAACGAAATGATTGAAAGTCGTGTTTTACAGGAGACAGTTTTTGTCATCAAGACATGTTTGTAATAGAAGGTTTTTGATTGAATTTCTACCCTGTTTATATTGATATAACAATGCCTGATGTGTTGAAATTGTCGTCTTTGAATTTTCTCTTAAGGTATACATCAAGGAAGACATTCAGACTTCTGTATGACTAAATTGCTTCCAGTCATACTTTTTTCATGTCTGCACCACTTTTTATTTCCTTAAAAGGATGTGGGATGCTCATGCTCAATGCTAACAAACACTACAGGTAAGTCAGAAATGTGTAATGTGAAAAAATTAACATGGTCAATGAAGAAGAAATAGTTGATGGACCCCTAATGAATCAATTCAGAGTTATTAAAATTGCAATTTGACAGCAAACTGAAATGAAATTTATTAGATTGATACTATGCACAAGTTTACAAATGGCTTGCTTTGGTAACATATTGAATAACATTATTGAATAACAAGACCAAAACATGTTCATTACCTGTTAAAAACTCAGGTTTATTTATCAGACAAGTCTTATTAGAATCATTAGAAATGAAGAACATGAAATTGTTCTGTTCTATATAAACTTCTTCATGCCCTAGGCTTATATCTAACTGAAGATATTTAAACTAAAGAGTTTCTCATTTAAAAAAAATATAAGCACCGAATTCTTCCAATTAGAGGTTAATTTTTTTCAATTATACCTAGAGGGGGGTTTGATAATTAGATATATGTTCTGCCATTTTCATTTCTATCAAACTGCCTTAAGATATTAATTATTTGGATCTTAGTTGAACCAGGGCAACTAGGTTCTGTGTTCTTTCACAGTTCATCTATGATGACTGTAGAACTTTCTTTTTTGGCTCTTAATGTCTTTTGGGTTCAATCATTCTTATCTGCGAAAAGTTCACATAAGATTATATATCAAAACATGTTTACACCAACATACCTCATAGTAAAGTTAATATTCCCGAAAAATTCTCTGAGTGTTAGATTTTTCCTGTTCCTTTAAAATTACTTTCTTTTACTCAGTTTACTAATATTAACACACAGTAGGTATAAACAAAACTTTAACCCTGTACCACTGCCTATTATTGAATAGTAATTTCCAATCACCCTAATCGCTAAAGAATCTAAATGCTTCCGACGACAGGCTTACTAAACAATCAAATGTCAGATCATTTCTGGAGAATCTTCTGGAAGTATTGAAAACTCACCTGAAATATATCTTATTTTAAACTTAAATAACCAAAGTAAAATTGTACCAGACATTTGGTATGATCATTATTAGACATTTTGTTCTTAGATAAGACTCCAGTACATTACTCTATTGTAGATAAAACACACACTAATGTAATTAAAACTGCAGTTTCTTCTTTTTTATTTCAACAAGATTATTTCTCTGTGTAGGTTTAATGTGCTTCTTGACCTTCTATATCAATTGGAAAGGGATTTAACTTCAGATACAGTGTTTAAATTAATTTGCACAAGAGACTAATGTGAAATTCATTAATCTCAGTGAAATTTAGTTGAAATTTCTGTTCAGCAATTACACAAGTCCTTTACATAACCACATTCTCTTGTTCATTTTATTAAAACTTAAAATTTTATTTTCCATTCAGTTACCTTTTGAGGATTCATTCAGTAACTAACAACAAATGATATAAACGCTTACAAATTTGTTCCTTTATTGAATGTAGGGTATATATTTAATATTGTACAGGACACATAAGATGATGTCTTGCACTCAAAAGTAATTCCGCTTCCTTCTCCAAAAGGCAAAAAAGGACTTTGATATGAAATTGTACTATATGTAGCCAAATTGGAATCAGTAGCAGTACCGCCAGTCCTGAACTCCACTGGCACCACAATTGATTGGAGTGTACTTGTTAATCCTAGGGTGCAAACAGGCAAACCATATATCTGTTTATTCAGCCTATCTATACTCATGCAACATCTGATCTTGCTAGCTTTCTATGTCTATCTAGTGTGGAACATTCATAGTATTCTAAACACTGGTTTAAACTGATTAGATACTTTGTTTATAAAGATTGGTATCTGGCTATTCAAACAACTTCTAAAAATAATCATTTAACTTTCATGATGTAAAGTCAAATCTAAACTATGGTCAGAAATAGTCCACCAGAAAAATTTCAAATTACTAATGAAAGAACATTCAACATGGAAATGTTCATGTAATAAACAAGGAATGACTTTAGATAGAGATGCCTTGTTTCAACTCTATATGTGATGCCTTATATCAACTCCATAAGAGATGCCTCATATCAACTGTATATGAGATGCCTTGTATCAACTCTATATGGGATGCCTTATATCAACTCAATAAGAGTTGCCTCATATCAACTCTATATGAGATGCCTTATATCAACTTTATATGAGATGCCTTATATCCACTCTATATGAGTTGCCTTAAATCAACTCTATGTGAGATGCCTAATATAAACTATATATGAGATGCCTTATATCAACTCTATATGAGATGCTTTATATCAACTATATATGAGTTGCCTTATATCAACTCTATATGAGATGCCTTTTATCAACTATATATGAACTTCTTTATAGCACAGAATGCCTTATGTCAACTTAACATGGAATACCTTATATCAGTTCAACATAAAGTGCATTATATTGAATGCCTTATACAACATTGAATGCCTTTTTAAAATTCAAGATGGAATGCTCCACATTAATCCAACATATAGTACCTTATAACATTGAATGCTATTAAACCAATTCAACATGAAATGTCTTAAATCAATACAACATGCTTATAATGTGAAGCAACAAATTAGTTTCTATAGTTTCAAGGATTCTGTCTACGACCTTGACTTTCAGCTTCTTCAAGCATAACTTTCTTACCTTCATTTATAGCCTCTTGTAGAAAAGAATGATTAAAATTCATTAAAGACTGGGTAGTTGAATTGAATTCCGTCAAATTTGATACACCATTATTTAAATCATACTCCAGGGTACTGGTGATATCTGGTAGTAGAGATTGTGTTGATGGTGACTGGGTGGTGATATCATATACAGGGCTGGGTGATGTGGTGACATCAATATCTGTGACATTGACATTGTAGTCATCAGTTGTGACATCAGTAATATTGGCATCATGAAAATCTAAAAAATAAAATTTAAAAAGCTGAAAAAATGTGGTTTAATTTTAGGAGTCTTGAGAAGCAGAATTTGGATCCTGTTTACAAGCTAACCAATAGACACCTCCTGACATTGATTGTTTTCAGATAATCCGTTCCTATTTACAGCTGGGTTGACTGAAATATTGAGGAAAGGTAACTTATTAAAGGTATTCAGATATAAACAGGCCATACTGAGATTACAATTTACTAACACCATTTGATTGACATAAGTCCTCAAAATTGTATTTATGTTTTTTACAAAACACCTGATAATGTCTAATGAAAAAAATGGTTTTTGACTGTCATTATTGAACTTGTATAAGAAATATTATATAAAAACGTTAATACATTAATAAAGACAATAAAAAAAAGATTAATTTGCTGTCCCATTAGACAAAAAATCAGACATGCTTGATTTTCTACCCAACATCAAGTGAGATGAGATTAAGCAAAAAAAACCATTAATAGAATTAATGAGAAAAGTCTACATTCTCGCATGTTCATTATTCAAGTACTCCATATTATACCAACTCTAAATAACATCTATAGAAATCAATGTCATTCCTAGACTTATTTAATCTAATGGCTAGGAAATCTTTAGAGACTTTCAAGCAAATATTCTTAATGGTAGACAATAATAATTTTATCATTTTTCATTTCAATTTTCCGTAACTGTCTTATTTGACTTCAGTGAAGATAAATGTAACTTGGAATCAAGGTGACTTGTCAAGTCCACAAAGTGCAAGTTCTAAGTACAAGTTCAAAAGGATACATTGATCATTTTCGTGCATTTTTGCTTGTTAGGTAACTCTGGCAGAGTTTAAGTTTACGCAAATTTATGATATATATCATTACAAATTCATGATATAAATCATTACAAATTCATGATATAAATTATTACAAATACATGATATAAATCATTACAAAAACATCATATAAATCATTACCAATACAAATTCATGACATAAATCATTATAAATTCATGATATAAATCATTTCAATTGATGCAATTTCAAAAAACCTGAGAAAATGTCTTGATCGATTAGAGGTAATATCAATATGCTCTGTGGACTCTCCAAAATGATAATTAATACCCCTAAATTTTATAGAAGTCTGTCTCTTTCATCATATCAGAAATTATATCCTTTCAGACAGCCCTTTGTCATTAAAGAAAACTAAATTTAAGAGAAGACAGTCAAAGAATTTAATTATCACACTGTTCGTTATCTCTAATTTAGTTAATAATCTTATTAATTTTTCATTAAGTCAAGTGGACACTGTGGTCAGTGGCTTAAATATTTCATCAGACCACTGTCTACTGTGACAATTGACAGTACTATTCTATCAATTAAATTTCTAGTCGGAATCTCTCTTTGTCTAGCTCTAGTTAATATATTATAGTCTTAGGAATACTGACTCTTCACATTCCAGCCCTGTTGGTAGGGTGGTGTCCGTGGGGTCAGGCCCCAGCAAGTAAGAATTAAGCCCCAGCAAAATCTTCTTCAGTTCAACAGAGATTTACAGTGTCTTTGTAAAAAATCAAAAAGATGTAGATTTTAATACAATTTTTGGCACCTTAAAATTGTCAGAAATGAGTTCTCTGTGCCTTTAATTCTTCAAATTTTCTGATGACAAAATCTGAGCCCCAGCACCAATTCATTCCTGGCTGACACATTGTATCATATTTCTGATTACCTTCTTATACTACAACCTCATTACTTTCACAAAAATCTTTTGACTACATCAGTGTTGAACTCTCTCAGAGTGAGTGACCAGTCAATGACCATGCAAGTGAATACCCATTAGCTGAATTCTTAAGAAAATATTGCTAACTGAACAATCTTTAAAACTGAGTAGCATCTGAAGTCAAGTTATTTACCACTGACAAGGGTTCATGATATGATGAGATTGATGACAGGGTAGTTGTGCTCAAGTCTGTGATCATAATTACAATATATTTTGAAAATCTAGTGACCAATGGTCAAGACTGCTATTGAACTTATAACATCAAACTTGAGATCTGGTCTTAATAGATTGGTAATAGAGTTATATTGGGTTTAAAACTAGTCACTAGGTTCTGTTGATTACATTATCTCCTACTGGGCTCTTAATTACTGATTCTTAATTACTAGATTCATTAATCTAAAATATTAGTATTAAAACCTCTGAACAAAGATTAGCACATGTTGAATATCAGAAAGTTTGAAATGTTTTATACTAACCTTTTGGTCAAAAATAATGTACTTCAGTGAAACAGAAAACTAGGACTTTACTGTAGGTATGTAGGTAGAAGCTATCGATACATACACACACATACAAAGGAGGGAAACACCTTTGTCTATGATCAAGGAAATTATTTCTTTTAGGGGATACAAGATAATCATGACTATTTCATACATATTTTCTGAATTTTGAAATTGATTTTCTTTGGCAATTAAAACTAACTAAAAAAAACAGTAAATCACACATTGAGTTTTTATAAAAGCAGTAATTGAATTATCTAGAGATATTTACAATAAGATTGTGAAACAAGATCATTACACAAATACATTGTTGATATGAAGTGATAAATCTCTACTACAGTGCATGGAGTGGAGCTCTTCAGCAAAGAAATCAATAATGCTGTTCCAAGGAATCTCCTAATGTAGAGAGTTGAAGATTTTTGTAATGAAGAGTTACAATGGTATGTGATAATATCCTTCATCAATCTATAAAGTAATAAGAAGATAATTTCTGTTTGATTATTGATGATGAAGCTCTGATCTAATCTAATCTATTTTTATGAAGTTCTATTAGGGTGTTATGATAAATTTTCTCTGCTGAAATAATGTGGCTCAGAAATCTCCTCTTATTCTTAATTCTTTACACCAATTGCCCAATTGTATACATTGGTACAAAATGAATTAGTAAAACTTAGTCTTTGTATGCTAGAATTCTTCCCAATGTTGTCAATTCCCTTGATAAAAAAACTGAGTTTGTTTTTGGATTAATAAAAACAGCAAGCAAAGAAAGATTTACTTTCAATTTTGAGAATCGTTCCTTATGTATTTCAATTATAAAGTCTTGAACCAATTCAAGAAGTCTTAAGCATTTTCTAGGCTCCAGACTTCTGCACCAAAATGACAGTCCTTGACGCTTTATTGTCAAAATCTTCATATTATGGCGATTCAAAACTGGATTTGACATTAACTTAGTTACCAGGAGTTCCTGGCAGTGAGTAGTTCTGTAATCAAAGATCTACAAAAATCTAATACTATTACGTCTAGTTGACCATTTTACTAGTAGTCTAGAAGATATTGAAAACATCACGTTTTGTCAACTTTCTACTGCTCAATGTCCACAACTAAACAAACAAAGTCCTTCAACAAGTATTTTCCTATTCTTTAAACTCTTGTTTAACATAAACATGAAAAGTTTTTCTACCGTCTTAAAAGTCAGATATCTAAAAGTTTTGACATATTCAAGATATGTTATGGATTTACTTCTTAAGTCTCTGACCACTCCATTTTAACTTTGACATTTTTAAAGTAACTTTGGAAACAATGAATTAGGAAATCAACTTTTTAAGGCTAGACAACAAATTTTCGTAGCCAAATTGATATTCACCAGATTTGTGCTATTACCTAACCTGCTGATTCAGGAGAATTCAGTTTTGTTTCTTTAAATAAAAATACAGTTTATAAAAATTTTAATTTAGCCAAATTAACATTCAAAGTATCATAAAGTTTTTCACTTTTCCTTAGCCAGATTTCATTGTATGAAACTTTTAACATAAGCAATCATTTGATGTTTGAGTAACTGTAAAGATGTATAGCAGAATAAAAAGCATCACATATCGTTACTTTTTATTGTTATCAAATACATTCAAATTCTTGATATATTGTCCTAAAATGACACTAAGTTTTTTAGCTATCAGACTTTTTTACTGCCATTGTAATAAAATAAAGTTAGTTAGTGCAAAGGTATAATGTTTGTATAAATATTGTATAAAAAATTGTATAAAAAAGTTAATTAGTGTCATTACCTGTTGTAGTGGATTCACTTATACCCAAACATAAGGCTGAAAATAGACAAAAACACCATCGTAAATATAAAACAAATTACTAACTACTTCCTACAGCCAGAAAAATCATCAACAGATTATGTTTACACTGAGGCATTTTTATGAACTTAACACCTTTCCCTCAAATTAATTCATGGTGTTTATAATATACTACATATAAAAAGTACTGCACCAGTAGGTAATAATAATAAATATAGTTTGTTTTTATTATTCAATGGTAATAATTGTTCAGATAGTATGAATTCACAGATCAAATTGCAACAAATATGCTGTACACATTTTTCATAATTTTCTTAAAATGATTTCCATATATTTGTGTGTGTAGTGCAGTTTGTTTTTACTCTGAAAAGAACTTTCTAAAAACTTTTGTGTTCAGTGCCAAAAAAACTACCTGAAAATTGCGCCATAAGAATTTGGCATGTCATCTTGAATTCACAATCTATTTATTTGTTTGGTCAAATAACATGACAGAAAGCAGTATTGTCAAGAAAAACTGTACATATCAGCAGTGAAATAATGAGAGAACTGACTTACATTGGTTTGCCATAAATTGTTCCGTCTGCTATTGTACAATGTTCCTGGAAGTCTGAGAACCTGTTCTGATATTAACTCACCTGAATATGTTTTCCAACTGGGACATTTGCCTAATAATTGTTGTTTATCCACATCATGTATCCAGATTGGGAAGTCTGGTGGTTTAAATCGGACACATAGTTGTTGTAGTAAATGTTGGGAACACACCATGCCATTGTTGGTACAGTTGACCAAACTATTCATACCCATTTCTCCATGTTTTATTTTAATATTATTTAATATACTTCTAAAAAAAAAGTTAAAAAAAATCTCTAAGGTAATACTTAGTCTAAATTTTGAGGTATATTAAATGGAAATTCAGACTAGGTTTCTATTTTGATAGAAAGCTTGTATCAAATAGAAAATCTTTTTGACACAAATGTATCATGAAATTTGATCTTATAATAGATCAGAAATAAGTTTTCAAGATGTCTTTTCTTTACCTTTTACTTATGTTACTAACATAAATATGCTTTCAATGTAGATTTTAGATCTAAAGATTACCTAGCTTCAAAATGGGTGCTAAATTTCTACAATATTGAAGAAGTATGGACACAGAAGATAATCTGACTTCCGACTCTAAAGTAATAATGCAGATACTAAGCTCATCTCATATGTACTCATGGCTTAAAAAATTACCAAGAACATATTAAAGCTCTTGCAATTGAATTTCAATGTAAAAAATACATCTACTTGTTTCTTAAATCAAGCAAATAAGTAGGCCTAATGCAAAATGTAAATTTTACATCCTTTTTATCTATAATATTCCATAACTTTTGTTTTTAAAAGTAAGGTAAACTCATTAGCATCTTGTCTGATTACTTCTTTGTTTGTTTGTTTTTCTACAGACTGATCAAAAGACTATCCAGCTGAAAAATGAGTATCAAACACACAAGGTTCATGTAAAAAACAACAGTAAAAATGTGCTAATGAGATTTTCTGCTACATGAAATTGATGATAAAGTGTTTAGGATGTAGTTAAAGAAAGATATATGTGTTAGAATTGTCAGTTATAACATGTAAATCTGTATTAAGGCTATGATTTTAATGGACTGGTAACTTGACAAACCAATCTACCAATTCTAGAGAGAGACATTATTAACATCATAATAATCTATCATCTCTTATAAATCAACAATAATAACACCAATTAATATTAGACATTCTTCATGTATCCTTAACAGTGATGTTTTTCTTCATCACAAAATCCTATCAATGAAAGTAACAAGGTGCACCAAATTTTACATTATAATTTTAAGGTTTTTTTTTTATCATAGATGTCAGATAAAAAGCTAAGGGTGAACAAATTTTGAACAATGAGCGGTTTTTAAAAAAGTTATCAACAAATACATATCAATAAACAAGGATTACTCCCTCTTCTGAATACAAAATTATTCAACACTTGGAGATTTAGTCAGGATTTATATTTTTAACAAGCTGAAGCCCCCCCTCCCCCTTCCTTTTATTTTTGGCAAAAGCAATATCATTTCAACACAGACAACAGAACATCAGATTTTCGCAACAGACACAAAATCTCTCGTTCCGTTCTTTGTGATGAACTAAAAATGAAATACTATAAACTACAGGACAGACGTCAGTTAAATTTGATTTTGTACTTAATTCTGAAGTTTACTTTGAATACGGTAGCTTTTTCATAATATGTTAGATTGAACAATTAGAGCACTATATCCCTTTAAAGCCATTACCTTTATGTTGCAGAAGTCACTTTTTAAACAATACCATCTCATCAATCAAAATACACTGACATAACTTTTTACACATTTCCTTTCTCCATTTCTATTACAATTGTTCAAATTAAAGACATAACTAACATGTATTTAACGATTATTTCAAATACTTTGTTATAATTATATAAGCTACGCTGTGTAGAGATTTTTTCTCACAGATAGTTAATAAGCTAATTTGAAATTGTTTTGAGAAAAAAGTGACAAATCATGTTAAGAATTCAAAACATTTTAATTAGCTAACATCACCTTTGTAGCTAGGAAGGCTTGCTTTATAGGAGAAATAAGTTGATTTATTTCCAGAAATATCAGTGGATTCAATCAAATTTATATCATTATTATCAAGTATTTTCAAATAGTTCAATTTATATTGTATGTATCTCACATAGAACATTCACAGTTGACATCTTCTTTTCAAAGTGAATTAGAATAAAACAATTGACAAAAATTTAAACAGAAAATTCCTCTTTCCTCTGAAATTACATGTTTCCTTCAAATCAATTTTATTTCAAAATTCAATCCAATCTATTTCCTGTCTGTCAAATTTAAAGAGATTGTGAAGAAGTTTTCTAAAATTTTCATGTGTATCGGGGACACTGATATCAATTTGCAGCATTCCAATTTTCAATCAGACATCTGTGGTTCCTGCAATTCCTCTAAAACTTAATATGCTTTATTGGCCTTTGTTGCGATTAGTGATGTCATCAAACACTTAGTTTTAGTAGAATTGCAGGAACCAAATACGCCTGATTGAAATTTGAAGGGTGCAAATTGATGATATCAGTGTTCCTGATACACATAAAAAACCTAGAAAACTTCTTTACAATCCCTTTAAGTTAATGTGAAAATAATACAAATTGGAATTGGTCATCTTTTTATACAGTGACAGTCAAAGAAAGTTAATCATTTGATTACATACATATAATATTTGTCACCAAATATATAAACATATACTCTACAATTTACCTTTCATAGATTACTAAATCTACATCAAAATTATCCAAAACACAATATTACAGGCTCCATAGTTAAAAGTCCATTCATGAAGCAACGGTCAGCAATGGTCAGCAATGGTCAGCAATGTCCACAACACGACTGTTTCAACAATATTCCACCCACTAACAAAAGATCCTTATACAAACATTGAGAGTAAATCACAAAGTAGAGAAACACACGACACTCACTTCTTCATTCTATTACTGTGGATTCACAACTAAACCTTGTCATAGCCAGTCTTCACTTAAATGTACACCAATCAGTAAATTATAGAGAGGAGTGTAGATTGCCTCTAACTATACTTTATAACAAAATTACTTAAAATAATTACATTCTATCAATAAGATACTTAGAATTCTAATAGTATTGTTTGATATTCCATCTCCTAAACTTTTACAGAAAAAGATATGTGTTCCAAAATAGAATCCTCTTATTAGATCTTTGGTAGATATCAAAAATTACAAATCACAAATATCTTTATATCATTAATTATATTCGAACTCTACTGAAAATTATTGAAATCCCAAATAGAAACCATTCCTTGTATAACAAAATAGAATCTCATTCCTTGCATAACACAATAGAATCTCATTCCTCATTCCTTGCATAACAAAATAGAATCTCATTCCTTGTATAACAAAATAGAATCTCATTCCTTGTATAATAAAATAGAATCTCATTCCTCATTCCTTGCATAACAAAATAGAATCTCATTCCTCATTACTTGCATAACAAAAAACTTGTATAACAAAAGAAAATCTCATTCCTTGTATAACAAAATAGAATCTCATTACTTACATAACAAAATAGAATCTCATTCCTTGTATAACAAAATAGAATCTCATTCCTTGTATAACAAAACAGAATCTCATTCCTTGCATAACACAATAGAATCTCATTCCTCATTCCTTGCATAACACAATAGAATCTCATTCCTTGTATAACAAAATAGAATCTCATTATTTGTATAACAAAATAGAATCTCTTTCCTTGTATAACAAAATAGAATCTCATTCCTTGTATAACAAAATAGAATCTCATTCCTTGCATAACAAAGTAGAATCTCATTCCTCATTACTTGCATAACAAAAAACTTGTATAACAAAAGAAAATCTCATTCCTTGCATAACAAAGTAGAATCTCATTCCTCATTACTTGCATAACAAAAAACTTGTATAACAAAAGAAAATCTCATTCCTTGTATAACAAAATAGAATCTCATTCCTTGTATAACAAAATAGAATCTCATTCCTTGCATAACAAAGTAGAATCTCATTCCTCATTACTTGCATAACAAAAAACTTGTATAACAAAAGAAAATCTCATTCCTTGTATAACAAAATAGAATCTCATTACTTGCATAACAAAATAGAATCTCATTCCTTGTATAACAAAATAGAATCTCATTCCTTATATAAGTTCTTCATCATAAATCAATTCTGAAGAATTTTCAAATGAAATTGTAGCATCTCACAAATATTTTGATATAAATTAACTCTAAAATTTTGTCTCATATTTTTGCAACACAAAGATATTTTGTTATAGAGCTAAACATAAGACTTTTTCACAACACTATTTTGTATATTCTTATGAAGAGTAATTAAGCAACATTTTACTGCAAATGTCTTGAAAATTGCTAAAACTTGTTCATTATTTGTTTCAATGAAAAAATTTGAAGGAACACATGACTGTTTTGAAAATAAAATATCTTAGAATCCTGGAGATCTCCTGAAGTGACTAAAGTGCTCTACCTTGTCCATCCTTCATCCATCAGAATCAAAAGACTGCAGCAGGAAATAAATATCTTAGAATCCTGGAGATCTCCTGAAGGCAGACATCTGCAAACTTCAATTAACAATTGACTGCTGCCACTGGTAATGTGTACATTAATAATGACTTGATTGTCCTGTACTGTTTGAAATACTGGTCATGAGTGGAACAATTACTGCTTCCAGAGCAAATACTAATCTAATTTAACTAACGCTTCATTTCAGCAGTAGTGAACATTAATAGCTCCCATAAAACATTCCTTCTCAATGTTCACAGAATACAAAGGAATTTTTGTTCAATTTGAGTAATATAATTTTATTTATTTCATATATGTAATAAAGCATGTTTATTTCAAAATGGATTATAAAAGTGGATGAAAATACAAACTTTGCACTTTTGTTGGTAAATTGAAATTAACATTTATTCAGTGATTTAGAATAGGACCCATCATCTTCAAAATAGAACTGATAATGTTAAAATGATGTAGAGTTAAAATCAAATTTAGTTAAATCCAATTTTACTTTATTAGCTTATGATATATTTATCTTAATTTTTTTCTGTGCTCAGATTTAACAATATATGACCTACGACACAAGACAATATTATGGAATTAGTCACTTCCGCTTTTTTTGCAAAACATATTCATTATAAAAAACGTCGTAAATCATAACCGAAAATATTTCTAAAGTTTGGTATTTATATCTATGTATCTACTTGATCAAACTGAATTTGTTTTAAAGGGATAATCAAAATCTGAGAGTACTAATTGTTAATTAAGCTGTTTGACCTAGTTCCGGTGAGTGGCTCCTTATATTTAGTTGAAATTTTTCGAAAACATAGGAGATATATTTCTCTACATTTAGGTAGTTTTCTAACAGCTTGCAAAAAAGCATAACAAACTTTAAGAGGTTACGTTTGGTTTATAGTTTTCACAAATTTGAGTAAAATAAATTTCGACTTACAAAAGAAAAAAGCGGAATGTCTATTTAAATATATATGAAACATTCAAAATATTTCATAATATCTGAAGGCTGCACCACATTCCATAATATTGCCTTTTTGTGATTTCCTCACTTCTAAATATCGATCAAGTCTAATATATATGACGACTGCTCATGTCAAGTTAAAAGCATAAAAAATAGAAATAGAGCCACCAACACAGTACACGGCTGATTGATAGATGTATTTTGTTTATTTGATGTTTGGTAAACTGTTTACAATGGTAATCCAATGAAATATATTGTCAACACATGTCCACATTCTCTGTTCTAGTTCACACTTGTTTTTAATACCCTCTACCTACACAAATACATTTTTTTAAAACTTAGTCCAGATGCCAATTTCAAAGGTCTTTCTAACATAATACAGCGAAGATAAAATTCTTTCACCTTTTTTCTAGTCATATGAATGTAATGTATTGCTCAATAAGAATTTCCAAATAAGCTGCTTAAGGCATCAGTCAGTTCCTCCGCCAAATGAACTCTGTTCAAACCTAGGCCAGTAGATTGTGATAAAGATATACTTTGAAAATTCAAAATATACAGATGAATTTAAGCCTGTTGCAACTTCAACATAGATCATTTTGTTTCACCAGTTAGAGAAAGTTATTAAAGGACAGGGTACCTTTAAATCTAAGTTTCATAGATGGTAACAGTTTGAATCTTCTAAACAAAAGAGTAAGATTATGTGAACAATTGAAAACATCATTATACTGGCAGTTAACTCTGACAGAATTTCCTAAATTCCATACAATGTTTCTGCTGTGGAAAATAAAAACACTTTCATTCTTATCTTGACTTACTAATAGAAGCCTAGTACCCAACTATACTTTAATATTCAAGAATCAGTTTAAATAGATTTATTATAACAAATCATTGTTTATATATTTCATGGGAGTGTAAATACATGATTGCTGGTGGGTAATGGAGGTAATCTTTTAACAGTCGTTAGTTATATTTAAAAGTTGAAAGGAGGACATATTGAATGTGGATGTTTTGTAGAGGTGGTCTAATGAGCAGATCTCATTAGCAGGATTCACTGTATATACAAAGAATGGCTCAAATAGACCTTAAGATCACTATTAGCAACTCTAATCATCTATTTTGCTATCAGAATCTGTGATTTGGTAGACTTGAGCACATACTAAACATAGTCAACATGTAAAAAAAAGAATCTGTTCATCTACTTAAGTGGTTGGAATCTATTAGTATTACTATCCATATGTCACAGTTGTTGGCATCAGTTGTCTATCTGGGACAGCCCTAATGAGACTATAAATGCAATTCTTATGAAGTTTTTCTGTCTAATTAGTAAAAAATCTAAAATGTTCAGCTGTGAAATTATTAAAACCTGAGTCCTACATTCCAGCATGTGATTACTATACACATACAGAAAATATAACTACATGTGTACACATTAAAATATAATTATAACACACCTATGATAGTTTTACAAGCACATGTAATTTAATTATAAACATGATAAAACTGTCTAAATTTCTCACAAAGATAAGGAAAACAACAAATTGGAGCAAATGAGTAATGAAAATCATGACATAACTAAAATCTAAGAGAATTTATCATGATATAACACACTTCTTAAAAGGAATTGTAAAAGGTATTCTAAACTTTTTAGGTGTTTTGGAGACACTGATAAGGTCAGTTTGCACCATTCCAATTTTCAATCAGTTGTTTTTGCTATTCCACTAAAACTTGATGTTTTACGATGTTTTGCTAATGAGAACTAGCTCAAACGGGTAAACACCCAATTCAGAAAAGCTGTCAAGAACTTTGGATTTTCGCAGACGGGTAGGTTCTCAAGATGGTCTGGTACAAAGAAAATACTAACACCACTACAGTAATTGTTCTTATGTTATTGATTCATTAAATAAGTGTCGGGCCTACTTCTTGGGGGCAAAAGTTTGTTTTAAGCCAACTCTTAAAATGTAAAATTCCTATTAAATATCTGCTTAGCTAATCAGCTTTATAAAGAATAAAGAAGCAAATAGATAACATATGGTGTATGGTATATCATATGGTGTACGATTATGGATAAAGTGCAAATTGAAGATTCTGTCTAAAAAAAGTGTCTGGGACCATATCGTGTGTCTTGGCTTCTTCTATTTCTGATAGTATCAAAAATCCAGCACTGTACACCACATCAGACACAGTGCTTCATCTTTTGGCACCTTGAGATAAAGATGGTGACAACTAAACACTGTACTGGTAACACTGTTATTAACTATTTATATTATGGGAACTTGATAGTTTTGGTATTTACACAATTTCAATAATTTATTAGAATATCAGATGGCTAACACTTCTATTACAAGCTGGCTTCCTTTCCCAAACATTTAATAGCTTCTGATTTAATATACTTGACAAAGTATAGTAGGCTACTAAAATGATAGAAATTCACCCAATGTTAAGCTTGACTTGCAAAAACAGGTAAATCAATATCACTCTTTTTTTGATAGATAAATCTAATTGATTATTCCATAAGATACAAATTTTAAGGTACTAAGACCGAAAAAACACCATTTTGTTGACCAATATGTCCCTCAGTTATGGATTCTAAACCTTAATGTGGTGTGCTTTTAAAAATGAATAATATCATTACCCCTGCTATCTTTGTTTTTCAATTGTATGAACAAGTGTACCCAGACACTCTAAATGTTGATTTGTAAAAATCTTGACTATTGACATAAGGAAGTTGATAGAAGAATTTTTTGTTGACAAGAGAATGTGTTGTCTAGTGATGTCTAATCTTAGTTGATACTATATGTACACAGACACCATGCTATCATCTTTCTACAAATAATACCTTCTACATGATTTGAATGTTCAATAATTTACAAGTTTAAATTCAATACCAAGATTTTATGAAACTTGATGAAAGAGGCAGGAAAATTTGCAAGTGAGATCTTGGCACACTTCTTCAAAATAAATCTTGTGACAGAAATGGTTGAAGTGAGCAAGAATACTTATAAAACCCTCACTTGCAATGTCAGCATTATTAAGGAAGGAGGGTGGGTTGGTTCAAAAGTTCTTCAAAACTCTAACTCCAAGTCAAGCAAAGTATAATTTTATTAATTTCTCATTCAATTAAGGACAAAAGTAGACTGTCTTTGTTCTTATATTTCAATACTTTAGGCCTATCATGAATATTAATATAAAAATTTGAAACTTGCACATCAAGGCCTATATTAGCCTGCATACAATTGTAGAGAAAACCTAGCCTGATTCCAACTCATTTTCCTCATCACCCAATGATCAAATTCTAATGTTTCATTACAATGAAAGAGTTGGTATTTCTATATAACGTGACTTGGCACCATAAGCATCATAGATGATATCCATTTCCTACACAAGTCCTATACCACATGCTTCCACCACGTTTTTATTGTTTAGAGGGAAACATGAGGAATGCGTTTTCTACATTATCAGAGATGACGGTGCCTATAACCTCAGACCCACATAACACCTTCAACACATTATATCTGGTTCAAGTGTCAATATCAATTAGCTTTCATTTATTTCCCGCCAAATTCAACACATACAATTGATGGATGCCACGTGCCAATATTTGGAACAGAAGATAATTGGAATATAGGCTACTTAAATGGCTCACCTCAATTTCTAAATTCCATAGTATCAGTTAAGTAGAGATAACATAGCAGAGCATTAAAATATCTTATTAAACTGTTGGTGTCAGACCACCCCAGTAAGATCGTGCCAGATGGCACCAAGTTCCTCGCCATTAATGAAGTCGTGACCTGGAATCTAGAGGTCATCCGTAAAGGTCAAACTGATTGATTAAAGGTGTTAACATCCAAACTTTTAAATTGATTTAATTAACGATTCGTGTGTTGAATTTGAATCGATATTGAAGATTTCATGTCTGGTCATAACACAGTCTGTTGCAATGATCCATAAAGCTTTCATTAGTTAATTAGTCCACACTGTATCTGTCGCAAATGAATTAAAACAATGGCACATTTCTTAGAAATAGCAGAGATTCTGGCCGCATCACTTACATGGACCCAGAACAGTGTAGCGTATATCGTTAGTAAAGTATCCAGTTTTATAAAAAATAAATTTCAGCTTGTGGTTGTGCTTCATAAGCTAATGAAGCTCATTTTTTTTTTTTTACCTGGTCCTCATGTAAGAATGTCTGTATTAAACTTAATTAGGCCTAAAATGAATTGATTGGAATATTCGAAAATTATTGAGGTGTAAAAGTTGAAATAAATGGTCTCTCAGTGGCTAAATAGGTTATAATGATGATTATAAGACCAACTTGCCACATGTCTTGTTTTTTACCAGTAATAGGCTAGTTGTCAAGTCTGTGTTATCTTACATGTCAAATAATAATATATAATTTGACACATTGTCTAGAAGAATATGACACCTCAAGAAATGTTTCTGAGAATAATGACTTGTTTGTATCAGTATTATCTTAAATAAAATCATCAAAACTGTATTGTGGCACTTCTAGGGACATTTTCCTCCCCAGAATTCCTTTGGGATCTAATGATGTTTATATCATTTTTTTTTTTATCTAGAGTCAAGAAAATAAAATAATGCAATTAGAAGCAGCAATAAGTGTCCATGATACACACAAAAGTCAAAAACCCTTTTTTCACCGTCATTGAAAAACATGCATACAAAAAAAAAGTTTTATTGCTTTTAGGAGATTGCATAGACATAATTTATAACATAATTCAATATATAAACAATTATACTATATATCATTCAATTACTCTAAATCAGATCTTTTATAACAACACATAAACCAATAGGAATGTATAGTTAAATAATCCTCTCTTTATAAACTTTAAAAACAAAAATCTTTCATTTTAAATAGATACTAAATTTTAAAACTATATCAGTATTTTACAGTCATGTATTTTAATATACCGAAATAGGTAATAGGCTTTAGTGCACTCTGTTTTCTAATCACCCCTTTTAAATCAAATTCAGTTTGATCAAGTAAATACATAGAAGTAAAAGATACATTCAATAAAAATTTACAATGACTTTGGTGATGAAAATTTTACATATCAAAGTTACAATCTCTAAACATTCTAATATTGACAAAATTAAAATCTCATTTTCAATAAATGCTGTTGAGTTAACACAACCAATATGTACATAAATCTACATTCTAAATAAAAAATATCAAAAAATAAAATAGAAAACGATATGAAATCAAATGATATCAACAAGTTTGATGATATATACTTTGTAAACAATTAAGACATAAGTAATTTTTCCAAACATAAAATACAAACAGTATACTGATTGACCACAGCTTAACAAAATATACATAAGCTGCTCATGCATATTCATGGTAACACATTTAAATGGGCATTTCACTTTTTTAACAATACAATATTTATACAATAATGGTCCCTTACAATATTCTTATTTGTTGACAGATCAAATTGTTTTTTTTTTTATATATCAGTTTCCAGAGCTTTTTTCTTCTGGTCTTTAAGTTGAGTCCATATCAATGTTTGTTTATAAAGTTTCTCTCTGTGTTCTATGTTAGTTACATTATCATCTAATTGTACTTCAGCTAAATCTCTGAAAAATATAACAAACACTATAATTTCGAAATTCACAATGTGATCATCAACATCATGCAATCTAGGACCTATCACCTCAATAAATGTGCTTTACTTCAGTTATATTTTTTTGTGGCATTTACCGACATCTAGAAATTAAGCAAACACTGAAAGTTATGAATGTTTATTTACTTTAGAACAGATGACAGCAAACTATAACTAATGACAAAGCAAAATAATTTCGATTTGGTTCAATTCTAAAGAAATCTTAATTATAGAGATCCTTAGTAAAAAAAAAATCACTTACTTGTAACATTTTCCAGTTACTTTGTCTAAATCTTGAGCAGTAGAACAATAGATAGTAGTTTGAGCTCCATCTTCAGGCAATTTCATTAAAAAATACATTGGTACAGTGAAACCAAATGATAAGAATTTATTGGATCTAAAAGGCATATAACGATGAGCATTAGAGTTAACTACTCCAGGATTTACCAAATAAACATTTACACCAAAATCTGAAATAATAATATTTGAGTTTTACATTCAACTTTCTTGCTCTCGATTGTTCTAATGAAGAGCAAGGCTTTGCATTTGGCTATGAGGGTGACTTCATTAGACATCCATGATTGGATTAGCTAATTAAAATATTAAAATATTCTAGAAAAAAAAAGATATTAACTTGTATGGTCATAATAAGTTTTAAGTTTACCAAAGAATTTCCTCAGATCATACATGTAATTATACAAAGAAAAAATGTGAAATAAAAAGTAAAGCGATCTAAATATTTAAGAAATGAATCAGGAATCTTTAACATGTACAGCCTGTAGCACATGTGTCTTTGGCTTATTGTCTCATTCAATCGATTATACACCTTTTTCATTTTGACCAGCATTAATTACAAGGGGTTAGAAAAATAATTAAGGAAGTGTCTCAACCTATGTATGGATGAACCGTAGACCCTTAGTTGAACAAACAAACTCTTACACACTGAGCCACAACAGTTCTCACTCTAAACTTTAATAAGATTAATCCTCTCACCTTTCAGTCTATCAGCTAGATGTAGAGAGTAAACAGCTAGAGCATATTTACTCTGAGCAAACCCTTTACCAGGTGAATAATCTTTAGTCAGATTAATATCATCATAGTTTATATCACCTAGATTTACAGCAGATGCTATAGTATTTATTATTCTACTTCCCTTAGTTTTCTTTAGTACATCTAATAATAGTTCAGTTAGTAGAAAGGTACCTGTAATACAACAATGATAACAAATTTCTAACAAAATGAAAAAAAGTAGTGAATAATTTCCTCAAAGATCTAAATTACATCTTTCAAACCTTCTATTTTTTAAATACTTTTCTGATTATTCTTGAAATATACAGAGATAGGAATAATAGTTTTTATCAACTTAAAAATACTCAAGTGCTTTAAGCACATATGTTCATTGGAACATCTCAATAATAATGATTTCAGTCAAATTATTCATGCAATAAGCTTCAATCTTCTGCAAATTCTGCCTCAAATATCATGAAACAGGATTCATTACGAAATCCGAAAACAATTTAGAAACTACTGTAACAGAAATTAAAAGCAACCTACCAAGATAATTTACTCCAAATTGCATTTCAAAATTTTCTTCACTTTCCATAAAAGGCATCATCATGACCCCAGCATTGTTGACTAGAATATCTAAATTGGATTCGTCTACAAAATAATAAGAGAGTAATATAGTTCGATGGATGTTGCAAATCATGATAGTATAGACTACTTATAGATTGACATTATGTTCATATCATGACTACATTGGTCATAAAATCCGGTGAATATCTGATAAATATCATCAACTTCTGATCAGAGTGTCGATAGCTGTAATTGAACTCGATCAGCAGGTGAAGCAAAATTTTCAAAATCAGCTTTGTAATAAATACAAGATTAAAGATTGCGTACAAAGAAATGTAATGCCAGGTAAAAATACAAATATATGAACCCTAACACTATCCCTGAAGTTTCCAAAATCTAACTTACTTTTCTTAAATTCCTCAACAAAATCTCTAATGGACACAAATGATGCTAAATTTAACTTCATCAATTTAACATTCTCATTCCGAGATCGTTTTTTAATGTCATCTACTGCTTCTTGGCCTGCTTCTAAATTTTTACAAGCTAGAATCACCTTTGCACCTGCAAGAAGAAAATAAAGTTAAAACTTATATTTCTATGACATGTTTGCATGCTAATATTAACAAAAATATTTTTGCACTAGAAGGTATAATTCATTTGTAGGTAGACTAGACAATTCTGTTAATCAAACTATATGTTTACAACCTAGCTGACATAGGAAATTTGTACCTTTATAAGCTAAATCAAAAGCTACATGTTGTCCAATGCCTGTATTAGCTCCAGTAACTATTGCTGTTTTACCCTTTAAATCTGCAGTTCCCATACATTTAGGACCACGTAGATATTGCCTAAAAAATAGAAACACACAGACTTTTATGAGAATCTTACCCAATGTCACTGGAATCAAAATCCATCACAAAATCGCAAGAGATGTTCATTAAGTCAATCAAGAGATTCATTACAAAAATTGAATTGTCTGAATATTGCAAGAAAGATTAGTCCACATCATCATTTTAACCCAAATACAGGCTACATTACAATTACACTACATTTATGACTAACATACATTTAGCTAAAAATGCTAATTAATGAGAATAAGAAATATAAACATAAAGCAAATACCTGATTGCATAAAGTGCACCACATACAACAGCAATTATGATTGGATACCAAGATGTAAATATTGCGTCAGGATCTGGAAATCCTTCAGGAAGAAGCTTCTGATTACCCATACTTTTAGGATTCTCGGTTAATGAAGGGAAAGATTTGACACAAATCCTTAAAACCTGTTTCTTTCGCAATACAAGGGAAATAAATATGAAAATTGAATAGCCTCGATCTTCCGGACCTATACCTTCGTTCGAACGTGCTTTAGGTATTTTAGCTTGAACCTAAAAAAAAGGCCCATCATGGGTATCGTGGCTAGCTTTCAACATGAGATTTTCTACAGTAGATTTTTTTTTTCTGTAATACTTAAGACAACCTATAATTTGCTTTCAATCTCCCATGACCACAAAATTATTTAACACTAAATTATTGGCAACTCGAACGATAGACTAAAAAAAAAAAGAGATAACTCTGCCTGCTTTAGATTGTCAAGATTAACCAGTGATGGATGAAGCGTGGACATATAAGTTGTAAAAAAGAAAACAATCTTTAACCTTCAGTTCAATTTAGCAATTAAGATGTATGAACAAAAATGAATGAAAATTAATGACAATTTGACACTAATATTAATGAATCTATCGCCAAATGTGTAATGTTATTCGAAATTATGGGCATTGTTAAATGAGGCAAATATAATTCTGTTAAAGTAATGTTAGTTGTAAATCATTTACACTTAATGGTCATCACAATAATGTGAATGTCTCCCACCTTCACACCGTAATTATGTGAAAATTAGTTGGACATTAGCATGATTTTAGTTCAAAAGGCACACACACAAACTTTATCTATTGCTCTGTGACTTAGGCCAGTGCTTTCATTGAGACTCGTCTCAATAAACCTTCACGTTTATGTGTTTATGCTACGAAATGTAGCAATAAGTGAACACAGTGTGAAATGTTGAAAGATGTAGACGTTATATTTTGAAATGTTATTACCTATATTTATGCATTTTCTAGTATTTTGATATGATTCATTTAACTTTTCTTTTTCAGTTCAGAACTTTTCAACAGTTTGGCTTGATGGTGATTTTGAGCGTGTTGATTTGAAATACATTATTGGATTTTGAGCCTTAAAAAAATGCCTCTTGGAATCCCACCTAAATATACCGTTTACGGTGTGATTGGCTTTGCTGTTTCCTTCTGCGGTGCTATAAAGTAAGTACTTCAATGAGTGTGTTGAACATGAGGGTGATTCGTATGGGTGCGTATAGTTTATTGTCTGGTATGTTGCTATTGAGGCTACACTGAGTATGTAATAACTCTTTAGTAACATACTATACCTGTATTTCCATACCAAATTTACAACATTGATCTCAATTTTAAAACTATGTAATTTTTCCACATATTTGGATTTAGTTTCTGTTAGACCCTTAGAAATGATATAACTTTTTTTATACTTAGGTATTATTCAAGAGGATCAAAATATAAGGGTAAAAAGAATTGTTTAGGTAAAACATTTATTGTCACTGGGGCTAATTCAGGTATTGGCAGAGAAACAGCCTTTAACTTTGCTAAAGAAGGTAAATACAGCAATATTTTATGACCTTAAAACACAATTTTTACTATAATATTATCATTTTGAGTTCATTTACTGACTTTATTTGAAATAATAATCTGATGAAAAGTTTGAAATTTGGACTGTTTCTGACAGAAGAATGTATGTAATGCTTATTGAACAAAAACGAGGTTTATAGAAAAACCATATAATAATTTTGTATCAACAAAAGTCTGTAGAAGTTTGGCTGTAAATCCTCTTTAATTAATATAATGGTAAATTCAGGCTTTGTTTTGTTTGCCACAAAATACCTTAATTTGACAATACAATCAAGTTGTATGTTAAATTTTCTATCAGGTTTCTGTTCTGTGTTTTAGGTGGTAGAGTTATACTGGCATGTAGAGATATGGAGAAATGTGCTGCAGCCAAGAAAGAAATAATAAATTTTACCTATAATGTACAAGTAATATGTAAAAAATTAGATTTAGCATCCATTAAATCAATTAGGCAATTTGCTGAGGAAATAAATAAAGGTATTTAAAAACTATATCACATCATTTAACAATTACTAACAGCTCTTCTTGGAATAATTCATACATAGTTTGTATAGACTGTTTAGTGCCAAAGTCAAAGACTCAGTGAGTTTGTTCACTAGAGTCATGTCCTTTGTGGAGGTATAGTTTCAACTTGTCAGTCACCGAAGTTATAGAGGATGACATCGTAAAGGACTGCTAGTTCATTTCATGGGGTGAAGAACAATAAACAACTTATGCTATCTCTAGACAGAATGAATAAAATCCTACATTTTGAGCTGTCTAAGCAAGGCATAAATTTTCATTTCATGCCGTTTTTTTTCTTAACGAACGGACTTGATTTGAATCAGTTGAAAATTGTATGATTTGGAGATTACTTACTGAGAAATATAAACTATTAATTTGCAGAAGAAACACATGTTGATGTTTTGGTGAATAATGCTGGAGTTATGAGATGTCCTGAAACTCTCACAAAAGATGGTATTGAAATGCATTTAGGGGTCAATCATTTAGGTATACATACATAGTTTCTTGCTTTTCATTGTTACTAATTTATTTTCTTACCAGATCTACATTTAAATTTTATCCATTGTTAGAAAAAATCATATATAACTTTTATGTTTACTTCTTTGTGCCATTTTTTTTTACCTGAATGGCATATTATGATTTTAGGCTTTTTTTCACTACTGCACCACAAGGATTGCTGGATAAACCTTAATTACCATAGTGAACCAACAGCATCATGATATTTTGCATCTTTCAGGTCATTTTCTTCTGACTAATTTACTAATAGAGAAATTAAAAGGGTCAGTGCCATCACGTGTTATAAATGTGACATGTTCAGCTTTTGTGAATGGAAAAATTAACTTCAAAGATTTGAATAGTGAAGACTCTTATGAAGAAGGAGTAGCTTATTCACAGAGTAAATTAGCACTTATGTTATTTACAAGAGAATTATCAAAAAAATTACAAGGTGAGAAGGCTTTACTGTTTACTTATTCCTGAGTTGGGACAACTTTTATTTTTTTTAACTTTTAACTGACAAAAGGTTTCTTGATTTTTGTTGTCCTTTGTGGTAAAAGCATGTTCATTTTAGATTTAGCTTTCAATGTAAATCAGAAATGCAATATGGAAAAAGTGTTGAGTCATTTAGTTAAAAGATCCCTCAACAGTTGAAAATCGAAAAATAGTGAGCTATTGCCGCTGTTCTGTCAAAATTTGCTCATTGCACACTGATTGAAGCTACCAAATTAGCTGTAACTTAGCTGCATTGGTTAATTTGTGGTTTGTTAGCATGATAATTATTCATACATTACAGGTACTGGTATCACGGTTAATGCTGTACATCCTGGTATGTCAAAAACTGCAATCATGAGACATACAAGATTATATAATTCAAAGATTAGTAGCTTCTTTTTCTGGCCAATTCATTTCTTTGTGTTTAAAAGTGTTGATAGAGCAGCCCAGACAGTATTGTTTGCTGCTTTAGATCCTAGTTTACAGGATGTGTCTGGTAAATATTTCAGGTAAGTTTTGACAGGACTGTTTTGTAGTGGAATTACATTATATTTACTTATCATAATAAGCATGTACAGAAAATAGCCATTACTAACAAAAGTTGATTTGAATAATGAAATAATTTTAATAGTCACATTATTTTTGACTGAAACAGCTGGAACAATATTTCGAAATATTTATTTCATCAACAGTTTACCCGCAAGTGGCACCATTATTTACATGTTATATTTTTTCTTAATGACGATCAGAAAGCAGCAGCACTGTAATTTCATGTTACTGTTTTAACAAATCATCTTTAAACTATTTTTAGTGATTGTGAAGAGAAAGAGATTTCAGAAAATGCTTTAAATGATGAAGATGCTAAAAGACTGTGGTTAACCAGTGAAAAATGGACTCGATTAACTTGATCTTCATTAATAGTAGAATAATTGAAATACTTGTGTGCTTTCTATTGGATAATAAACAATAAGGATGTGCTGTGTTACAGTTGTTTATCTGGAATTTGTGACTGATAGATTCACCAAATAGACCAAAAGGATTCTATTGAGCTTGTCATTTATAACAGCTATCTTAACCCATTTGCTAAGTGGTCAAAACGAACATTGACCTAAGTATAGTGATAAGTGGTCAAATTTAGCAATGACCAATGGAAAATTGTTAAGTGGTTAATGACCTAGGTAGAACTGTAAGTTGAAGGGTAACAAATAACGAAGTAGTCAAATTCAACAATGATCTGTGGCAGATTGCTTAGTGGTATTGGAGAGTTAATGAATGGCAGAATATTTCCCTTACGTTTGAGAGTTAAATTTTAAAACTTGCTTGGTTACTCTTGAGATGGAATTAGTGAAGCACACCAGCAGATTGCGAACAGTATTTATGTAGTCTGTGTTGTATTGTAAAATGTCAGTTAGTTTCTTTTGCCAAGGAGAAATTTCTCAAGAACAAATATAGATTATCAGCCTCCATCATCCAGTCCATCTTTTTCAATTCACAGTTTTGGCTGAAGATCTGGGCGTCAGAGACTAACAGCATCTATCAATTAATCAACCAAGATTTTGTTTGTTAAAGAGTAAAACATAAGAAAAATAAAGTTAATAACAGTTTTGTTGTTCATGTTTTTCTGTAGCAGTCAAAAGAATTTTGGGCAAGACAATGTTATTTTTTGATACCCATGAAATAGAATATCAGGTTTCTTCAGACATATGTTCTTATGAACATGATTATTGATGATTCCTGAAAAAAATCATTCCAGGCCACTAAAGGGTGTAACCGTTAACCAAAAAGAGAATTAGAATAATGTATATAACTAGACAATAGTTATATAATTTCTATTTGAAGGTAACCAAATGTAAGATCTAGGAGCAAGTATAGGGACAGACTAGCCATGCCATCTACCCCATGCCATTCAGACTGTTCAGGAAAGTACCAAAACATTTACTTTCAATTAAGATATTGAACATAGTCAACATAAAATCTTATGTTATCATCATGCTTCTGAACCAAAGTTATAGTAGATCACCACGGTGTACACTCAAAATGCGATTCAGTTCATGAGTTATTCCGCATGTTGGAAAATTTCAGAAAAAGAAGTCACTTTTTTTTTTAGTTTTTATTCACCACAAGCAACATTAAAGCAATCAGACGTGCCTATTTTACAGTTTGAGATCATGATTTGAAAATAACTTCTTGAGGAATGAAAAAAGTTTCTATCTCTATGGGCCTTATGTACAAACTACAAGGCGTATATTTAATTCACCAAATAAAATGAATCTTGTTACATATTAATTGCAATAGAACCAAAAATTATTTACCCACAGATATCTCATATATTCTGATTATTACACCCTGCAATATTTCTAAAGATGGTCATTGAAAGGTCTGTCATAAGTTTCTGTGTGTAGTATTCAGAATAACGTTCTTCTAGGTCTTGATATTAACATGCAAGCCTCTCATATCAACTATATTACAACTAAATAAGACAATTTTTTGAGTGGTTACTTCTAGAATATCTATTACTCTCAAGCCTCAATGTGGTTCTCATACCGTATTCTGGAATATAAATGTCATTATTGTATGCCTGACGATGGTGTGAGACCCACATTGAAAGGTTTATAGTAATGAATATTCTAGAAGTTGTCTATCCATAAATTTGTCTTAATTTATCTATAACTTGTGCTTCTAATATGCCATTGAAGGATTATTATTGCAACTGATGATTAAGTTCTTTAAGGAAGTAGGAGAGGATCGTCCAAGAGAAACATCATTTGGTAATGAACAAAGAAAACCTATGATCTATGATCTAACATGCATTAAGAGAAAATATAATGAACATTGACGAACGCATAATACAACATTGCATACAATTTGACAAAAAAAAAAATACAATTTTGGACAAGACTTGTTTTGTTTGAGTATTGCTTTTACCAGATAAGTAGGTCACACTTCATAAGATTATTGCCTCATTAGATCTTGCCTTTAAATGCAGATCATACCTATAAATGCAGATCATACCTATAAATGCACACCATACCTATAAATGCACATCATACCTATAAATGCAGATCATACCTATAAATGCAGATCATACCTATAAATGCAGATCATACTTATTAATGCGGATGTTTCTCCAAGTATATCTAAACTGTACAGATATTCACATATAAAGAGAATTATATAACAACACATAAAGTAAAGTCACACAGTTTATTTATCACATTGTTTGTATACTGAAGTTTGTCTTTAACAATAACAATATCGAAAATATAATAAAACTATGAACAAGTAAATTTAAGTATTTATAATTCTTTAAGTAATTTGTGCCGCAATCTTTGATATAAGTTAACTTATCACAGAGACAACGTCAATTTTGTCTATAAATAACTTTTAGAATTTGAGTTTTCCTCCTAATCCGAATTTAATATGGATTCGTTCCAGATTTCTTGGCAATATTTTTGAGTTGTTGTCCATGTAAATATGGATTTTTAACGTCTCTGAATTTCGATTCCTGAAATAGTAGAAGTGAAATTTGATAATTCTGTTAACCAATATTCTCAATCTGAGAATATCCCAGAAATGAGAAGCTCAAACAAAATGAACTGCTGTGGATTGTCCAAATTAGTATTCTTGGGTGTTCCTAACCACAGAGTCTAAGGCCTTTATTGATGACGCTGTTTTTTCTGTCTAAGTTTCTTCTCTATGTTAGAGCTATAAAATAACGTAAATAAGTAATAAGACTATACGTACTCTTTTCTTGATCATATGTGGTGACTTTTTAGCTACAACAGCTACCCTTTTACTTCCATTAGGAGCGAAGTCAGTACCCTGAAATAAGATACACATTTGTGACATTGTATAGTGATGTTTTGATTAACTATTGACCAGCAAGAACGTATAATGGCGTCTTTATTTTATGCATTAAATTTGGGTGCTTTGGCTTGTCGCCGATCTCAACTACTATCAAAGTTCCGTAACGAGCTTATCGATAAAACTTATGTACAACTACTATATCTGAGTAATTTTCACCTACCAAATCATCATCAAGTTTTTGAAGTTCATCCATAACTTTATTAATAGCTACAGCATCACCTTGAGACTTGGAGCTGACAGTGTTACCACCAGCAGGACAAGAGAACATGTGTTCTGTATCACAGGGACATTCTTGTTCATCTAATAGTTTCTTATTATTCTCCGCGGAATTGACGAAACCTTCTAGACAGTTATCTTTAGCTGAAAGTAAAAAAATGTTTCCTTCAATGAAAATGATCAAGAAGATTCTCAAAATTATCCACTTCTATTAATGTACATCCCGAATATTCTCAATATGTAACGTAAATCAAGCGAGATCATTTAATTGCGTTCTGTTGGATGTTAGAATATTATAGTTAATCAGGAGAGATCGGTTGTGACAAATAAACTCATTCTTACCTGTTTTTCCAATTGGGCAAGGGTTGGGAGGATTGCAGTAAGCAGGGAGAGATTTATCAGATTTTTGTTTTCCACCATCGTTTCCACCTAGAATAAATATAACATTAGACTTTATTTTTTGACCTTTCTAAAGGTTATTTTGGGTATATATTCTATTGGTAAAGATTTTGGATTATGAGAGCAATGCTTCTAGATCAAACCAGGTCATGATACATAGTTTTCTAATGCATAAATGGATGTAGCTCGACAAATCTTACCAGTTCCCCAGACGTGGTACATAGATCTGATTTCGTTACCGGCTTCAATGAATGACTTTAGAGAATCAGAATATCTCTGGAGACATGGTCCAGTTTTCTACCTGCCGCCAGAAAAGTCAGCAAATTCCCTACGGATGTACACAAATGATTTATTATGACCAAAAAACTTACCAGACATAGACTGATATCCATAGAGAGAACTCTGTTCAAGATGTTCCTGATCACGAAGATTGGTACCAGTGTATGGTTCTCCCTTATAGCCTTCATCATAACCATTACCTTGTAACCATTCATCATCATCTACACTTCTACTCTCTAGATCATCATTATCTCTATATGTATCATATAGATTAGCTAACTCTTTCATACGATACATCCTAGCTAAATCTAGATATGTATCATACCCTGATGGAAATGACATATCAGCTACTGCTACACCAATGGCAACACATGCCATGATAAAAATATTCATTTTGACGTCTTTTCTGAAAAAAAAAAATTAAACCGTCTTGGAAAAAAGCGCAAGACACACTTACAACTACACTCGGGTTTGATCTTCGACTTAAAGCTGAAAAAATGACTTTCTCATTGTACATCTATAACCGAGAAAAAACAATGCGCCAAACGAAAACACAAGCAAAAAGGTTGCATAAATTATCTACCATATTGTGACGAGTACAGCGTCTGGAAATAGCTTGGGAGAAAAACAAAGTATCTTTTTGACAGTATTCCACAAGGTATTCAGAAGAAAACAAATAACAAGAATGGGTGATATATACCTGATTACTTTCTGTTCAAATCTTCCTCACTGTGTCCACTTCAATCTGCCTGGATCCAAATGGCTGATGTTGACGTCAGAAATCTTGTGGAAACCCACGCCTAATCAATATTCATGATAATAAGTGTCGTGATGGTATTGAACTGGACACGAGGTGTGATCAACTCCGGTGTCTAATTAATTAACTATGTCTTAATCTTTCAATACTTTGTTAATTTGTAATAACTAATAATATCATACAAGGTTTAATGTCATTTAAAAGCAGAAATCGATGAATCAATGAAATCAAAATTTACAGAAGCAGAATCGACCGGTTCCTGATATTAGATCTTGGAGGTTGTCATAGAAACAATTTATTGATTTTTTTTATTAAGACTTGTTACTCGTGACTTGTGTTTACGTTTAAGCTCTTGACGGTGGAAACGTTCCTTCTACGTATTACAAATCTTCTGGGATGAAATTTACATAAACTTATGAATAGCCAAGGTTAACTTAGCTCGTAATCTGAAATTTAATCTAACAGTTCAGTCAGAAGTGGACTTCAGGGTATTTTTAAAGTCGCCATTTGTATGTCGTGGAATATAATCGAAAAATTAGTTTTAAATTTCCCAATTTTTCACAGTTGTTAATAGGTGCTAATAATCCTGGAAAGATCAATACCAACGCACTTTAGTTGCGAAATTCAGATTGTATAAGATGAATATACATATACAATAATAAAATATTTTCTCTGATAAAATAGTGGTCAATATATCGAATAGAGTGAAATAGAAATATTTAGATATACATATAATATAAAATGTAAGACACGTTGTTTAACATGTGCCAATAACTAGCTTAAAAGTATACTACCTCTTAGGACCAAAACACTGAAATTTTAAACTCGGCCAAAATGAGTCTTTGTTCATCTGTGAACTTCTGGTTAGGTATACAACAGAATCTCTCTATATTCCAATAAATCCTTAATACTAAGTAATAATTCATGAAGTAATTTTGAAACATGCCTAAAAACGTGTTACGATAATTATGTTTTTTAATGGAAATATTCTATTCTTTTGTCATAGCACCTGGAAATCCAACTGATGAATATGTACACTGTTTTTTTTAAATTTCATGTCCATTCGTATTCATTTAAAAAGGATCACTTCAGTCCGTAGCCAGACTTGTTCAGAGGGACAGGATATATATCCGAAGGGGCAAGTAATATATGGTGTATAGTACCATGTTGCAGTAATAGAATTGGTCGGTTTATATTCAGAGATGCAATCTATTTTATCGGAGGGACATGCCACACCCTTACCCCTGTAGCCTTACGGGCATACCACTTGATAATAAGATGCCCCAAAAGTCTTCTTCAAGCATAAATTAATCAGACAGAGAAAGAAGATACTGCGTATTATTCGTCGACCTCGTGTAAAAGAAGACTTTCATTTCATGTTAGCGTGACTATAAATAGTTATCTCATATTGAGATGTCTTTGAAAATCGGTATTGAACATGGATAAATTCGACAATATTTCATAAGAATGTGCACTTCTCTGTACTTTTTAATTCAATTACCGAGTTATGTGGATTTATCATTTAATTCATAACATACAGATACATTAGGTATTAACTTATATAAATATGACAACAATCTAGCGGTTATAATAAAATACTAGAAATGACGAGCGGATTTTATCTACCAGAAGAACAAATAAGATGTATGAAATCTGAAATGAAGAATTAAAAGAAATGTTAATATGCTTTATACAATCTACAGTAGGCCAAGTATAAGGAAAGAGACCATGGCCTTCCTCGGAGTTTATTTTCAACTTTTTCCATGTCAGCCCCCAGATAAGCAATTCTGACAAAGGGCATTCCAGGTTGAAACACTGAAGGTAGAATATGGTCCTGTACTAGTATTGAACCGACTTCTGGGAAAGCATGCGTTGAAACTTGGAAAGTATTTTACCGTCTGTTCTGATTCTACCATTTCTGTCCACATCTAGCTCTTGTAATAATACTTCAAATTCATCGTCTGTTAATTTGTCTCCAAGCCTGGTTAGCATTGTTCTTAATTCTGTCGCTACAACATAACCACTAGACTCTCTATCAATTGTAGCAAACGCTTCTTTTAATTGTCTGGCATAGTTAGCTCCCTTGAGAGAATCTACCATTTTACGATAAGTATTGAAATCAACTCCACGACCTGAAAATGGGCAGTGGGACATGTTTCATATGATATTCTTAATTATACCACTTATATAGCAATAAGGAGATTGCAGTTGAAGACGATCGAAGACGTAAGAGAGATTTCAGTAAACTAATATTTATGGGTCAGTCTATCCAGTGAGATTTCAGTAAAGCAATATTTATTGGTCAATCTATCCAGTAATATGGAATAGATTTCAGTAACTAATATATAGCCTAACTACCCAGTAGCATGGACGAGATTTCGGTAACTTATCTCGGCCAATCTATCCAGTAACATGAAAGATATCTCAGTATACTAATATTGATCAATCCATCCAATGACATTAGAGAGATCTCAGTTTTAGCAAGGGGAACCATGCTTCGCAGAGATCTATTTTCGGACCATTTGCTGTGATTGTGCTTACTCCTAATACGATTTTGGAAAACAAAAAGATATAGGGTAACACTAAGTGACAAAGATGACTTGATTTTAAGTTTATCTTAACTTTTAGTCGATAACTTCTGATTATCATTATCTTGATTCATTAATCCACTAGCTTGACTGCTAAATCAAATCACTATGACAATGACTGTCACCAAGAGTTCGACTATAGCCAGTGGCTGGGGGGAGCTGAAAATGAGACTGTAAGAACTTACCACCAACACCAAGTTTCTTCATCATGTTATATAAATCTGTATCTGTTATTATATGACCTAATGCTCTGACAGCAGTTCCTATTTCATTAGGTGGTATATACCCATCGCCATCACTATCAAACAGTTTAAATGCCTCTAGAATTACAGAAGTTGAACACTCATTCCAAACAGATCAACCCCTTTGTTGATGAGAGAAGATCATGTGGATGGGATCGTGGTGCAATTACTATCTAAATATGGATTTATAGTCCCTCATGAGATTATGATAAGTTTGCATAAAGCAATTCGAAAACATAACAATGTGCTCCGATAACTGGGACAAATCAGTGTCAGATAAGCTAAGATTTATCTTATTTCTGTTAAAGTTAAAAAAAAAACAGAACATGCTAGGACACATCATGGATCTGGCGATAAAAGATAAAATTTAGCCTAGACTCAGAAATGAAATTTGATTATTCTAACCTGTTATCTCGGCCTGACTCTGAAATGCAACAGAATATATAAATAATACGGAATATCATCATCGTTTGCAACAATTCTTAAGTGTATATATTATTATTCTGTCCATTCTGTTAATACTGCTATTATAAAACTACTTCCAACGGAAGGGAGACAATACAAAATACGATTCTAAACTTACCATTTTCAAAACAGATGGATCTAAGCAGCTTGTGGATATATTCAGTTACCTATAAAATACAGGAACGTGGAAGTTTTATTATGCAATTTTTTATGATTAACTGCATTACTTTTATGTATATTGTATCTATATCTCACGTATGTTTACTTTTTGATAAGATCTTCAATCACTTCAAATTTGAATACTAGCGGGATTATATGACACATGACATATTTTGTACGCGAGAACAATATCCACAACAAACAACCAAAGGCACAAAAATTTTAAAGGTTGCTATCCCATAGAGGATAAGCACATCCTGTATTATAGCTGTTAAGCATAATGAAATGAACATTTGAATTATTTTAAAGCCTGGTTCAGAGGGTTTATTTGTTTATTTGTTCTTTGAGAACAATTAAGGAAATACACTTTATGAATAACCGATTTGACATTAAAAGTTTCATTCCATAGAGCCAAAATAAGTAATTGTTAAGTAAAATTCAAACTTACCTTGAAGTATATGTACAAGAAATCAAATATTTGAAGATAAAATATCGTGTTTGTCACGAATGAAAGAGCATCGTATATCTACATACTTATATCAAGTTTTAAACAATCTTGTCCTACCACTTTTATTTAGGTCACTTTTCCTTGTTTAGGATGAATAAAAGGATAACAAACATCGTGACAGTTCATTGCTTGATTGCTTGCGGGAAAGGTTACTCCACCTATTTCGATTAGAAAGGTGTATTTTATTTTTGCTTTATCCTAATGTGCATCCTAAAGGTACATTTAAAGATACAGAGCACTTATTTGCTATTTCATTTCTTTGACAATTTGAATAATGTCGATGTCAGTAGGAAAATAATCCAAACTAATCTAAGAAAATATAAACCTACCTACGTGTTAACGTTTGAATCGGGCAATCAGATTTTGTGGGTTCGAATATCCCTCAAACTACAATTATAGTATATGGAAGCCGTCTGCGTTCATATTAATACGATCAACCTCCTGGAATATCTATTTATTAGTCCGTTACTCCGTACGCTAGTGTTATGATCTGAAAAATATTACTAATAAAAGTGATAATAATAATGTAGGACCTATTTATGAATAAATGATCAATCGTATTTTATCTTTTTGTTTACTACTTCATTCAAAACCGATTTATTACGCTCATAAAAAGACTAATTGATCAATGTTTAAAGAAGTTTGGTTGGTTGCAGGCCCGTGGTCAGACTTAATATATCAGGAGTGGCAATTGTGTATGGTGTTTATATAACCTACAGTTGCAGAAATGGAATTGGTCGGTTGTCAGAATTTTCAGTGGGGCAATATTTTTTCGGGAAGCATTGGAAAGGGAACGAGATAAATAAGCAAGCTGGCAGGTAAAAGACATAAAAGTGTGGACAAGAGAAGCATCTTGCCTTGCGAAAAAATAAAGCGGAAGTGGGCTACAGAGTAAACATGCAGAGAATATGTATTGTAGACGCGAGCATGATTTTACAGCCGTTACATTCAATGTGATAATTAAATATTAGTAAGATAATGTACTAAAATATCACAATAATAGAAAACCAATATGATAAGAAGTGATAAAAGTCGACCAAACCTTTCTATTATCTATGCACATGGTAAAAATCACTGAATATAAAACAATGGTATGTAGAATTTCTGTTTATTCTATTCTATTCGTCTATGTCCTGGACCAGATTTGAATGTCTCACAACTATCATTGGTCTGAATTTGAGGATGTTAAGATTATTTCGCTGTTTGGGTGTTCATTTATGAATCTTGTGAGATATATGATGTAATTTAGTATCTGTTTGCTTCAGAGTAAAGTCCAGTTCAGCGAAGACAAAATAGCAGGTAGGTTTCTAGTCGCAAACTGTGGTAATACTTACTTTCAGATTATGAGTTATCATTAAAATAGATAAATTGCTAGGTTATGGTGAAATATGTATACAATGATAACAATCAAAAAATTAAGCAGCCATTGTTACCACAACACTTAATGTGATAGTGAGCTACTTGTGAGCGACGTTCACCGAGACAGCTCAAGAAAATCTGACCACTCTCAACCAAATCAGTCATTCCAAAGCATAATCACGGAAAAGTATCGTCTGAAGAGGCCACTATGGCACAGAAGCTTCCTGAAGCAGATCAACTACAGTTGTAATCCATTACTTGATAATTTTCAAATCATTTTGCAGAATTTCAGGAAGCATTCTCTCTATTTGATAGAGATGGCGATGGAATGGTAACAACGATTGAATTGGGGACTGTTATAAGATCTCTAGGTGGGACCATCACAGATGCTGAATTAAGTCATATGGTCAAAGACGTAGAAGAAAGTAAGTTTGTTGTGCCATTCAGTGCTCTGTTGGTAGAATTTAGAAGTAAACAATACAATTTGCTCTTAAAGACTCCTCTTCTTGTGATCATTTTATCAGATTCCCTCAGTCCTACATCGTGGTGTGAACTTTCTAGCAGACCTAGGCATTATAAACGACTTCCCATGATTATGTACCAATCTGTTGTGATCGATCGTCATGTTGGCTCTCCTCATTAAGGAGGCAATATATGACTCTCCTACTCATTTACTTATGTCCGTGTTAAAACCGAATTTCCCTTTCGTTTCAATTTTCAGAAAATGGTTTAATTGACTTCCCAGAATTTCTTACCTACATGGCCAAGACTTTATCACATCAAGAATCACCTGAAACGGTTATGGAAGCCTTTGCAGTCTTTGATAAAGATGGACAGGGGTTTATTAGTGCTATGGAACTAAGACATGTGATGACACATCTTGGTGAAAGATTAACTGATGAAGAAGTTGATGAAATGATCAGAGAAGCTGATATAGATGGAGTTGGTAGAATTAATTATAGAGGTGAGTTACATCTTGGCATTCCCGGAGAGTCACATCAGAGGAATTCGGGGAACCTTATGGCTCCTATACTGTTCATGTATTTCTTGCTATGAAATGCTTCTGACAGCGTATCACGTCTGTACTTTGGACAATGATAATACATACAAAATGTGTACCTTGTTTACAATTATTACAACCTGTGTAAGTCATTCGACTTTTAATTCTCTTTCAGAGTTCATCAAAACCATGACTGAATAAATATATTTCGATTCCTGATATAGATCTAGTATGTTCATTATGGTATTGTTAAAAGTCTGTTATAATTTTCGTGAAATAAAAAATTCATCACCATTATATTATTCAAAATGGATTTTTCCATTGTGTATGCATCTGGACTTTTTTGATTTGCATAGATAATTGATATCGATACCAAAATAGCAAGACCGAAAATAAGATTACAACAATGACATTTATTTATAATACATGTATATAAAAATTATTATCCACCTAATTTCAGAAACATATAATCTTCAGATAAAATCACTTCTTATGCACCAATATTAAACCGAAATAACATACAGGTCAATACAAATTTATCACACATAATCCAAGTTTAGCACATCCACTTTATGTAAAATCCCATTGTCAAAACTCATAATGCAACAAATGAAGGGTATCACCGGATATGGATGCAAAGGAATATGATGATGACGAAGACTCTGTAGATACTGTTCTGGTAAAATCAGATGGATCTTCAGATGCTTCTTCACTGGAGGAATACGTTTCGTCTTCAAAACCAAGGGTACCAAAGTTGAGCGCTTCTCTAGGATCATAATTACAGATTGTATCCATAAGTTCACTTTCATATTCTTCTGTTCCCTGTGGTTTACTGTAGTTCACTAAAACTGGTGTCTTTGTTGGCTTAGGTGGACACTTTGGGGTAGAGGTCTGTGTTGGAGCAGTAAGGCTATATTTGGTGTACAACTTTGTTGGAACGAACCATGAACAACAGCAGCAGGAGTGGGATTCAGGAATGGTTACATAAACATCCTTAAGTTTTTCAGATTGGTGATAATCTTTAATAGCTGATTGATCTGGGCTGGCAGTACCATTGAATCGACTGGGTGTGTTCGATGCGATGAATTGGAAACATTTTTTAGCACAAATTTCATATGGTTCTAAGGATCGCATATATTCCGGTAGAAATTCCCAGGTTTTCATACACAGAGGCAGACATGATGGTGCGTAAGCTTGCATAAAACTGATGGTAGAAACAACCAAAGAAATAAGGACCAGGACGGATAAGAATGAAATGACGTAGTGTTGATCTGCAAGAGAAAGTCCATAAGTAACAGCAGGCAAACCAAAAAACACAACTGTGATGAGTCCAAAGGCAAACCAACGGTGTTTGGAAAACTTCTTGCTCAACACCTCGGCGAACAGTAAAGGTATCCTACTGCTGTATGGTATCACATAAAATAGTACGAAGCTGGAAACACTGAAGATCAAGTGACAATATATTATTTGGAAGGCAACCTGTGATGTGACAGGATCGGACATGGCGGTAAACAGTAGACTAAGAGCAGCACCAACATTTGATCCAAGTACAAATGGATAAAGATAGTCAGGGTTGATAAATCTGGAAGCAGGAAGGAGTACAATAGTGCCGGTTAACAAAACACTGTCTTGGACAACAATGGTCATCACACATCCCATGATAATGATGACGTAGCCTTTCAGATAGGAACAGTACTGTTTAGAATTGGTTTCTGGTATCAGAGTAAAACTATCAGATGACTTCTCTTCACGATTGACAAGAATGGTAATGATTATTATTGATGTGACACCAAGAATGATAGTTGTGATGAGAAGGATCCAACTCGTTCCAAAACAACTAACATCTAAACCATTAAATATACCAGAGCCTGAAACAGAGTGGATACATTGGATTACAAAACAAGAACTTTGTTTGATTCTTTGAAGGACTCCATGACTCCTCCAGAAGGATGAGCTGAGCTGATCTATGATGATCGTTTCTTAAATTGGTATAACATCTAGCTATCGATGTAGCAGCCTAAATGACGATGCTGTAATTTCACATGACAAGAGTAATACTTACATTCTATCTGGAAGTTGGTTGACTGTGTCCCATTATCTACTGTGACACTGCTATTCAGCTCAGTCTGCAAATCAGAATATTACCATAAGCGACCATGAAACTTAATATTAGCAAATTGGTTCGTACCAAGCGAAATTTGAAATATGATATAGCAAGCGATAACCGATATTTCATATACAAGAATCTTATGACAAGCTAGACAAATGATAATACTTTTTTTTATTTTTTATGAATGATAGTACAATTGTCTTTATGATGAAGTACGACAGCAGATTAATATATTTTCTTACCTTTAGGATGTAATCGGTTATTGGTTTGAGAAAACCTTGTACCAGACCATATTGTTGATATGTTTCTACTGTGACAGTCTGTATCGTTAACCATTTACTTAATTCATACATAAAACCTGAAAAACCAAACAAAGTTAACATAAAACCTAGAATCCTATAGCATTGCTGATGAAATGCCCCACTGCTTTTGAGCAAACATTGGTTGTACTATTTAGGAAGGTGGTAGGAGATCTGAACAGTCTCTGACGTGCTGCTAACAAAAAAGAAACACTTACCTGTGGCGAATTCTAGTGGTAATAGCAAGGCTGTAGTTAAACAAGATACGATAGTGACTGACAAAGCTGTAGAGATACTCTGTTTAAACCGAGATCTTTCATAAAACAATACTAGTGATACTAGTATAGGGGTAAAATAACATCCAATATTCATACCCATTAATACAGGTATAGCAACCAATGGATGGATATCTGAAACAAAGAATAATCTGGTTAATAAAACATGGAAGCTTTAATTAATGTTCTGTTAAAATTTCAAATATCACAACAACTTCGCATAGGTACGAAGTACTCAGAATGATTTCCATTACTGTTCCAGTTCATGCACAAGCGATGTGGAATTTTGTAGGGGACGGTGCAGGATTACAATAGAAAACTTACGGTTTTGGGACACAAGGGCAATTACAATCGTAAGGATGACTTTTGGCTGTTGTAGTATAGATGTACACAAAATACCAATCATCAATGCTGTAACAGGATTTCCTAATATCTCCAACATGTCTGTTAGTATGAAATCTGAAAAACAAAGGAAACAAATTAAATAAAGATCATATGTTTTCCAAAATTCCGAACTCAGAAACTGATCTCAAATTTCAATCTTCGATTAATACTTTATGGATGCCTTTGATATCTATGGACATTTGCCCTTTCATG